AACGTGTTCCTTTTGGGCCGGGTAGGTAAATTGACATTATTCCACAGCAGAGCTGCCAAAAGCCAAAAGGAAAGGTCCTACTCATACTCTGTTACAATTCTCTTAGACTGCAGCATACATGCTTTTATACACAGCCGCTCTTGCACACACGCGCATTGTTACGCACAAACAGGTTTACACACAACCCTCTTACACACAAACGCTCTTGCACACAAACACTCCGCCGGACCAACCAAGCGCGCAAATAACAATCAGTTTGTCACACTCTAACCCCCTTTCGCGCGAAAAGGGTTGCACGGGAACCCCCAAAATCGCAATTTTACCTCAGTTTTTGACGATCGAACCTCATTTCGTGCGAAGGAGTTGCCGCCGACGCTATTTGTAAGTTAACCCCAGTTTTTGACGATCGAACCTCATTTCGTGCGAAAGGGTTGCCATGTTGTCACTTGCAAATCGCAATTTTAGCCCAGTGTTTGACGATCGAACCTCATTTCGTGCAAGAGGGTTGCCGCCGACACTTGCAAATCGCAATTTTACACCAGTTTTTGACGATCGAAACTCGTTTCGTGCGAAAGGGTTGCCGCCAACGCTTGCAAATCACAATTTAACCCCAGTTTTTGACGATCGAACCTCATTTCGTGCGAAAGGGTGGCCATTTCGTGGCGCCTCGTCGGCACCCCCCGCGGCCTTAAGAGAGAAAAGAAGGAGAGAGACCGTGACAGAGGGAGAGAGAGAGAGAGAGAGAGAAGATGTGAAGATGTGAAGATGTATAACAGACCCCGACAGACCCCCACTATTAGAAGAACCCTTCACTCAGACGCTCTCGGGAAAAAAGAGCCTGCGCGAGAACTCATGCTGTAACAAAGGTAGCACGGTCATAGACTATCCTGACAAGGATCTTTTGCCCAACTCCCACACACATAATTGATATTTTTCACGAGAGAAGCACTATGTATGAGTGTCCCTGGTCAAACTTTTGTCTTGATGGCAGAATGTACCTCACATCTTAATTGTAGACGATATGCAACCAAATGCTAAAGAAATGGGTATCATACCTGGGTATCCCTATGCTGATTGTTGATCGTTGGATATAAGAACACTTTTTCTGCCAACAGCATTCTTCAAGTCTTGCAGGCAGCATGCAGCCAAAATGAACAAACTCTCCTGGAGAGCCTGTCTGCTGACTTTGTTCGCACCATTCTCGAAGGCGAGAACGCCAAATGAGAATGTTAGAACATTGGCTCGAGTTTCCGGCAGGCATCCCTGCATGACCTTCAGGATATCGAAAGCATGCTGCCACGAAGCCATCATAATCTGAGCACTGATAGCGGTATTGTATGCCACTAAATTGGCCTGCGCATCATCTCTGACCATGCCCATCAGAAGGCTAAAGGCCTCTGACCACCTCCAGTTTCCTTCATAAACACTGAGCGCAGAGCTGTACGTAATGACATTAAGCTGCATGTGCGTCTGCTGCATTTCTGACAGCAACTGCTGGACATGAAGCCAATTGCTGAAGTTGCCATAGGAACTGATCAATGCATTGTAGGTGGTCACATCGGCACGCAAGGCAACTGATTGAAGCTCCCTTAGCAATAACAAGGCCTGAGTGGATTCCAGGCGCTTCTCACACGCACTCATCACGGAACTGTAGAGAATCACATCTGCCTGGGCACGGCCACTGTAAAGTCTTCCAAGCAGTGCTTGAGCGCGCTGCCATTCGCCACGCTTCTCACAAGCACTGACTGCTGCGCTGTATGTGATGACGTCGGCTTGTATACTTTGAAGCTCAAGCTCATCCAACCACAAAAGTGCTCGTCCCCATTCACCGTGCTTCTCACAGGCACTCAAAACTGCATTGTACGATGTTAGATCTGCTTGAATTAGGGCCAGCTGCGCTTTGTACAGCAGTGCTTCCGCGTGTTGCCATTGCCCAGCTTTCTCCATAGCACTGATAACTGCGTTATAGCTAATGCAGGTGGCTCGAAGTTTCAATCCTTGCAAGTCTTGCAAGAGAAAACTTGCATGGCACCACTGGCCCGCATTTGCCAGAGCACTCATCGCTACATTGAAAGCAATGACATCCGCTAGCTGTGCTTCTTGATCTTCTTGAAGCTCTACCAGAAGTATCTGAGCCTCCCGCCACCTACTTGAACTGCCACAGGCACTCGTCGCAGAACTGTATGTCACAACATCCATCTGTAAGTGCGTGGCAGCCAGCAAAGGCAAAAAGCCCAAGGCTTGCAACCACACATCTGCAGCATCTGCAGCATCTGCAGCATCTGCAGCATCTGCAGCATCACCAAAGAGGCATGCAGAATTGAAAGATATCGTGTCCGCCTGCAGTTTGCGCTCACACATCTCGTGCAAGAGAAGCTGTGCCCCCCGCCACTGACCCCCTCTGCTACACGCGCTGATAGCTGCATTGTAAACCACGGCATTTGCTTGCACTTCCTGGTTAAACACATCTTGAAGGAGAAAGCCTGACTGCTGCCACACTCCAGCCTTCTCACATGCACTGATGCCAGCACCAAATGTGATCACATCCAACTTTGTTCGGATCGCATGCAGGTTTGCAACAAGAAGCAGCGCCTGTTCCCAGGCTGCTCCCTTTGCACATGCAGTGATCGCTGCACTATATGCAATCAAATCCGCTTGCCCCTGAAGCGTCATGAGACATTCCACTGCCCTTTGCCACTGGGATGTTCGGCCATATGCCTTGATATTTTGGGTGCATGCCCTCAAAGTCTGCATGGGACCAGAATACCTCGTCTGCCCGCAGGCCATTTCCGATTCTGTCCCTTCCAGGGGGCTCCGCATCCATGGCTTTCACGAAGACCAAGAGCGAAACATATTCTCCGGATTTCTCCAGCTCAGGGTCTTGGCTTCGAGAAAATTAACGGCTTTCAGTATAGGAGAGCAATGCTATTGATGGCCCAGAATCCAGAACTCAAGTGGCAAACACCCTCAATTGCTAGATTGGTTGAGAGTTGAGAGTTGGGAGCAGCGTTCCTCTGCTTTCATATCAACCCCTGAAACATGTGGGGAGGCATGCAATCATCAACCACCTTTTTGTGGATTGAGAGTTCCTGGGCTCCCGATCTGTTTGAGACTATCCCACTCCAAGTGACATCGATTTGGGACGGCTGCCTGCTTGAGGATTAAAGAGAGTTTGAGTTGCACAGCAACTCACATACCCCATGGTGATATGGGACAGCTTTAGGTATCTCAAATCCAAGAGCAAGGGACAAACATGGACAAACATGACAAACCATCTACTGTAGGAAGCACCAAACTTAGAAGAGTCACGGCCTGGTCGCCTTGTGGTTTTCGGAATCCCCACGTATCATGACCCAAAGCACATCAGCCCCATGGCTGCGTAAAGCACCCGTTTCCCTTGAGCAGCAGTGAATGCCTGCAATTGCAGCATATTGTCATTGCTCACAACTTGGAGAAAATAGAGAATTGACTGAAACTGAGCACCTTGGTGCAAAGCACTCAAGAGGGATTCGTACGTGATAGCATCTGCCTCCAGCTGCTCCTTCTGAAGATTTTGGTAGAAAGATATTGCTAAACGCGTGCGCCCAGCTCTGGCACAAGCAGAGATTGCGGCATTGTACACCACAAGGTTGGCGTAATAGCTGACATCCTGAACTTCGCACATCAAGCTCTGCACTTGCCGCCACTGTGAGCCTTCTTCAGTTGCACTGATCACAGAGCTGTAGGTAATCACGTCGGAAGGTATGTCTCTTGCCCGAAGTTCTGCCAACATGGCTTGAGCATTCTGCCATTTGCCGGACTTTTGGCAAGCGCTGGTTGCCGCATTGAAAGTCGTGGTTTCTGCCTGCGTCAGTTTAGACCGCAGCACGTACAGCAAGAATTGGGCAGACTGCCATTCAGAGCTCTTGTCCAGAGTACTGACAGAGGAATTGAATGCCACAACGTTCATCCTGATCTGCGTTGTGGGCAGCCGTTGCAAAAGATACTGTGTTTGCTGCCACTCTCCGCTAGCCTCGCATGCATTGTTTGCGCTGAAGCTAAACGGATCAGCCAGGAGACCATCACAAAGGAGTTCATCAAGCACTGCAAAGGATAGTCGCCAGATCGCCCCAGGCCCAGACCCACTCAAAGTCGTATTGTACGTCAGCAAGTCGCGTGAGTCTTTAGAAATCTGATGTAGAAACAGATGTCCCCATCTCCAGTGTTGTCTGAGCGCAGCTGCCGCTGAATTTCTCGTGATCACATCAGGTTCCACACTCCACCGCCGGAACTTGCGCACCTCAAACAAGGCAGATCTCCATTGAACGGCCCTGCCTGTAGCAGTGACCAATGCGTTTTGGGTGGTGGTATCTGCCTGCAGTTTGCGCTCACACATCTCGTGCAAGAGCAGCTGTGCCCCCCGCCACTGACCCCCTCTGCTACACGCGCTGATAGCTGCATTGTAAACCACGGCATTTGCTTGCACTTCCTGGTTCAAAACATCTTGAAGGAGAAAGCCTGACTGCTGCCACACTCCAGCCTTCTCACATGCACTGATGCCAGCACCAAATGTGATCACATCCAACTTTGTTCGGATCGCATGCAGGTTTGCAACAAGAAGCAGCGCCTGTTCCCAGGCTGCTCCCTTTGCACATGCAGTGATCGCTGCACTATATGCAATCAAATCCGCTTGCCCCTGAAGCGTCATGAGACATTCCACTGCCCTTTGCCACTGGGATGCTTTGCCAAACTTTTGCAACCTTGCTGTCTGAGACTTTACCTTATCTGGTGCTGCATACTGCAGTCGGCATTGCACAGCGTTGGAGGCAAGGCACATTGGAGCAAAGGGAAAGCTTTCAGCAGCGACAAAATACTTGAGGCTCAAGGACGATTCAAAAAGGGCATCCTGAGTGAAATCTGCACAGACCATCCAAACGTCTCAATGACTTGCACAAATTTGAACTGTCAAGAGGATGACATGCAAGAAATGTATAAAAAGGATTTAGAAATGTCCCAAAAGCCTGCAGCCCGCATTGAGCAAGGGTAGAGCGATCCTCTAGCGGCTGAGGGATCAGGACACCGTCACCTAGAGCATAGATGCTCACATGAATCAAATGAGTCGCTCTCGACAATCATAATGAACCCCTATCCCATTGAAGACGGCTATACCGGCTATACTATCAAGAGTCTGGGTCTGGGTCCATGGTAGAATGCAAAAGTTGCGAGAGGGATACGGTATTAGGAATGGCGCAGGATATTTGCACAACCCAAATGTAGAACAATGCTCCCGGGTCCAAAATGTCCAAATCAGCCAGCATGACATCACTTTTGACTCAGTCCATCAATATCATCGTTGCCCTGAAATTTCTCTTCCCGAGCATTTTTCAAACATCGAATGCAGAACTCAGATCACTGTAGATCACTGACATTTCAGCAAGTTGCCACTTCCGGAGGCGTAGAGCTTTGATGCCTCTAAAGGTGGGAGAGCAGCTATGGCATCATTACCTCATCTCAACACGAACACAAAGCTTTTTCCACCATCTCCGTGGCCGTCTCTGTGGCCATAGGATGCCATAGGGAGATCAGTCATTTGAATCATGAAAGCTGCTGTTCACCGAGATGAGGCCCCTGCCATCGTTGCAAACGTCTGTGAAACGACACCACACTTCCAGTTGTTCAAGCGAGCGCTTCTTGACAGAGAGCACTGTTTCGGAGCGACGAGCCTGGAAGGGAAAGCTGGAACACAGATCGTAGATCTTCTTAGATGATCAAAAACTCAAACAGCAAATCTCGAAACCATTCAAAACCATTCGAAAGTATTGGTACCCCTTAGCTGATGGCCATGTGAAAATCAGACGAGAAACTTCAATGTTGACCTCGCCCAAGTGATGAGTCACCATCCTGAGCTAAGTAAACGAGTCAGTACGAATCAAGGTGCTTTCTGTCGTCACAGCCAGATACATATGACGTGCCAAGCTGCAGAGTGACGATGGGACTAATCCTGGAAGTTGCAAGTGATACACCCAAGTGCTCTCACTGATCGAAATGCAGCTGAAGATGCTGAACATTGCTGCACATATTGATAGTCAAACGGCTTACAGTTTCAGATGCCGGAGCTTTCTCTTAGCAATCTTCGTGCTGGCAAGCTGCATGTCTGTCTCTTCATCCACTGTGGATGGCAGTCGCGGTCCTCAGGGACAACGCTAGCAACCACTAGCATGCAAACGTCTACTGTCGCACCAAAATGTGTCATCACCTTCAATCCAGACTGAAAATGTTGCTGTCATCTGTTGTCAGTGAGCCAGGTGGTTGCGAGCAAATTTCGGAGCAGTTCTGCAATCTTCTCTCTCTCTCTTTTTTGTGACCAAGTCGCTGCTTTCCATTGCCTCATGTGGCACGTCTGCGGCCAGCTGCAGCTCGTCCCCGTTCTCCAGTCCACCTAAAATCTGACTAGCGTGGCCAGAACTCCTCAGAGCTCTGGTCGCTGTGACAGCTCAGAACGCCAGTGACCCAATGACATATCACTTCTTTATTATCACCTTGTCTGGAGCTCAGCACAGCTAATGGCAAATGAAATGAACCCAATTATACAACTCCTTTCACTAGCGAAACCAGAGAAAATGAAAGGGAGAGAGAGAGAGAGAGGGAGAGAGAGAAAGAGAGGGAAAAAACACATAAGTCTGCAGTGAAGGCTGTACACTTGGAGTGCTGCAAAGTTGCATTGCCCCAGTCGCTTGCGGTCCTCCAGAAATTCGGGGAGCCGCCCCTCATCAACCTTCCTGCTCAGCCTGTTTGAAGAGTACAACTGTGCAAAGGAGTTGGTCGGAACATCCAGAGCTCCTGTGAGCTGTGAAGCTTTGCTTATGCCGTGGCCTGCAGTTCTTCAGTGGCGGCAGCTCTTCCTGTGATGCAGGCCATGCTTCAAAATACTTGTTGAAAATGGAAACGCTCCCTAGACAGTCTAGACAGCCTAGACATGAAAATTGCCAAAGCTGTCCGTCGATCTTTCTGCTGTCGCCATTCGATCATTCTTTCTCTGAGGCTTGAATGATCTTGAATGGCTTGCTGGCACCTGCTCCCCCAGCTCGTTGCAAAGGCGCGTCCAAACGGAGAGCTGCTCATGTGCCTGCCAGCTTCTGCAGCCAGCTTCGAAGCAACTTTGCTTAAATCGAGAAGATTTGGCGAGCCTTAATCTTCAGGTCCTGCACCTTGTCCCGCCTTGGAAGCGGAAATAGTACGAGTGCATTGCTACATCATGCTACATCATGCATGCTACATCATGCTACATCATGCTACAATGCCACTAGTTCAACAAATAACTCACAAAGCTGAAGGCATGGCGCGCGCATCTCGACAGTGACCATGGCACTGGGATTGTTTGACCTCAAAAGCCCGAACGATTTCATGGGCTATGGACGAACGCAAAATAGCCGGGCGCTTGTGTTTCATCAATCAGGGAAGTGGTGCTGACACCATGACATACTATGACATACTGCAACAAAGTAGAAAACTTGGTCAAAACCCTTGAACTTGACACCAATAAACACTACGGAGCCCCAAGCCGGCATGCAGAACATTTTGGAGGGCGGCATGCGGTGCAATTTGTCTGATGCCCCTGCCGGAGTGGCTCTGCAAGGCAAGGCCCCTGTACAAGTACGGCATCACAGTCTGATGATTGTATATATCAGGCGTTGGCAACCAGAAGAGTGGAAGAAGCTTTGAACAATAGAGAGGCTCACACAGACAAATGGTACAGCCACGTCAATGTGATGACGAAGATTAGTGAAACTTAGTGAAGCTTAGTGAAGCTTAGTGAAGCTTGACTTTGTGAACATCGGGAAGTTGTCTGGAAGCCATATGCCGTGAGACCCTTACAGGTGATGCTCCAAAGCGGGCTGCCTGTGCAGCACAAAGGGCGGAAAATGGTCACAAGAAGGGTTCCGCGGGTCACCCCATTCATTTCGGCCCAGGTCAAAACAAGTCACATCCTCACCAGGTCGACTTAGAGTGTAATCAACCCAGTTTAGCTGCTCTGAGAAGTAGCCCTTTTTGGAGTGAGCAACCTTCAACGTGAGGTTGCACTGTCCGTTATCATTGTTGTACTTGAGCCTCACGTGACCAAGGTGGAAATCATAGGATGCCACAGCAATCTTCCTCTCGAGATGTGATTTGGACTCCTTTCCCCTGCCGAACACACTGGGGCAGGCAATGTCCGAGCTCATGAGAAGAGATAGAGCCATATCCATTGGTGCTGCATCCTGCAAGACCAGTGCGCGTAGCTCTCCATCCTCATTGGGAGGGAACAATCTGATGTAGCGGCGGTAGGAGACCCAAACACAACTTCCCTTGTAGGTCAATGACGAGCCTGGCCGAACCTTGTGAAGATACTGGCACTGACCCACATAGACCCCATCCCATCTTGGGCGATGGAGCCTCAAGTATTGTTCTCTCCAACACTTTTCCAAACAGCGCAGAGACCAAAAGTGGCAGAGCTTCTGAAGTCGAGGTTTCCAAATGTCAACCACCATAGTCACAGGCCGCAGCTCCCTGCAGACCCAGGAGACCTAGGAGCATTCGGCAGTTTTGACAAGAAGGCCAGGACATGTTTACGGCATTCTTTTCATGATTTGTATGGAGAGGTATTCTGAAAGATCAATGTTAACCAGTGAAATGTCCCTGAAAATAGAGTCTGGACAAGATGCTCGTGTCACCACATAGGTGTCACAGAAAAAGAGACCATCTTTCGCCCATGACAACAATGGATTCTCTGCACTAACATCTGAAAACGCCATGGCAGGCGCACAAGCATCCAGCCGGCCGCTGCTGCTGCTTTGCAAAGCTAAGAAGGAACCGCTTGTAATATGTTGGCACTATTGTCCAAATAGACTGTTGCCATTTGGGACAGATAATTCAAGTCAATCCATACTACTGATGAATGTTCTTCAGTTGTTTTGCGGGGTCAGATTCATCTTGTTGTTGATTTCATCCGCACTGTTTGATCCGAGAGAGTTAAAAGAGATCCGCAAAGAGGCGAGCTCCACGACGACCCCGCATGGACGGCCAATGCTGGTCTCCCACATATGTGGAGTCTAGAGCTCACATGTTGCGTCCAAGTAGCTGCGAAACCACCAAGCTGATTTGCGGGTTTGGCACTTGTCCACCAGTATCCTTGGCAGGTTCATGCGCACAAGTCCGGTTCATAGCTGCTGACTTCAAGTGCCATAATGCACGAAGCCATGTCATGGTCAGGCGCTCCTCCTCCTCCTCCCCTGCACCGTTGGCAGGCGATACCTGGCCGTCCACTTGAAGCATTCTCACGAACTTGTTCTGCCTACAAGAAATTGAGTTCAAAAGATTGTGATTCCGCCTAGCCTGCTGCAGTTTCAGCAGATCCTCGGATAAACATGGATAAACTGCAAAAGGCAGTAGCAAACAAATCTGCGTAGCTGCTGCATGGTGCTAATATCTTCTCCAAGGCATTGGCGCATTCCATGGTCCTCATGCGACCGTCCAGCTGCACTAGCACCTGCATGACCACAGGCCAGCTCTAGGCACACATACGAACAAGCTGCAAACCGAAACTATCTATTCGGTATACATAGGATTATATAAACTGTGTGTGTGTGTTCGTTTTGGATTTTATATAGATCATTTCGATCCCCCTGGGTCCACCCCTTAGGGCTGCACACTTTCCGTTAGCCGTGCCAGCTGTAGTTGAAGCACCTCCAAGACAAGGCAATGCTCCACAATGCACCCTTTCCTCTTGGTCCCTGCTTCTCTCACCTGATTCACCTCACCTGCCATCTTAATCTTTCTTTTGTGTTCCTATCGAAAGCAGAAGCTGCACGCGCATGATCAGGTTTGCTTTTCTCGCACACTCCTTAGCGCTTTGACGAGCACTACTCTCGAACTGTGTTCTGGAGCGTGCACGATAAGGATTCAAGTACATTATATAAATGATTACGGTCAACGATTCAAGTGTTTGCAAGTTTTGGCGCTTGAACCATCTTTCACCCTGCAATTGGACAACTCCTTTGCACGGCTCTGGTCGAAGAAGCTCGAGGGGTCTCATTCCCATAGGAAGCGGCATTGCACGATGCTTGGTGTAGCAAATGATTCACCTCAGCTACTACAGTAGCAGCTACTAGTTGCTGGCAAGAGTGCAACTGCCCAAACTGCACACTTTGAATCAAAATAGAACACGGATTCGAGCCATTTCTAACTTCAAACCATTTCAAGCCACCAAGCGTATCCACATACCAGAACGCGCACTCACCATTGCGTTCCATCGCGTTCCAACTTCGCATCCATCTACTGGAAGCTTCCCCCAAGTCGGAGAAGAGCATCACCAATCATCACCAATCGCTGCGTTGGTTTCCCTTGCAACACTTGTACCAAGCAGGCGTCCACTTGCCCTTCAGCGAGGCATCTCAGAAAGAAGTCTGCAAGTTGCGCGTGGCAAGGGAACTCGTTGCTTCCTGCAATGTGCCTAAGCGCCGGGGTGACACTCAGTGACACTCAGTGACACTCAGTGACACTCAGTGAGCCTCCAGTTTCGAGTAAAATGAAGAAAATAATAGTTTGTTGAAATTGACGTGCTTGAGCTGAGGCAAAGTCCCAAACAAAAATGGCCGAATCTGTGCTCACAAAGGCCCAGAACCTGTGCTTGCCGTTGAGAATCTCTCTCAGCTGCGCCAAGTGTGATGCAAAATTACGACACACCATGACAAGCAGTCATGGGCAACTGAATTCAATCAAGCTGCAGAACTGAATGTCATCACGTCTGGTAAAATTTGCTCGCTCTGCATGATACCTTCAAAAGTCTTTCGAAAATGAAATCAAGTGTAAAGGACAGAAAGAAACCACTCACTGTCTGATGCCAATGTTAACAAAAAGACCACGTCGAGCATGACAAGTCGCTGAAGGCTTGTATGCCCCGTTGCCAATGTCCTGGCCGAGACAGGCAGACATAAACGCCTTGCATTCTTCCCAGTTGGATTTAACATAATATATGCAACAATCGGGGCAATAAGGGTTTGGACTGCCAGTGGCATAAACTAGTGACAGTTTGGCGGCAGCAGTCCTTCGATCTGAAGACTTGCAAGCAGCGAGTTGTAGCTGATATCACATGGTTGCCTTTGTCTAGACACAAGCGATTGTGTCATGCCGATCATGTCAGTGCAACAACACTGCTTGTGCATCATGCTTCGATATCGTCTGTCCTTTCCAGCTGCCAAGGTGCAAAGCTACAATCAACATACACTGAAGCAGCACGAGGGCCTCGCGACTGCAACGAATGGTTACCAAAGCTTACTCTTACCATCTCTTACCAGCTGGCCGGGATCTTGACTGCTCTTGTGCATCTTTTTGGTTCTTTTTTGTGTAGAGTGATTGCAGCATGCTAGGCCGCCGGCAGGACGCCAGCGGCCAGATTCACAGGCTTTCATCGACACATTGCAGGTAATCGATGTGAATGATAGACTGAAGCCTGCGCTAAGGGGCAGCGCACATGCCCCGCACATACTGTGGCACATGCTGTGGCACATGCTGTGGCACATGCTGTGGCACATGCTGTAACTGTAGCACATGCAATACCAAGTGGAGCTTGCTGCACGCTGTAGCTGTAGGCCTTGCATAAAGTACAGGGCATTCACAACCTGACGCCATTCCAAAGCCTTCCTTAGACAAGCACGGTTCCTTCTTGATCTCAAACCCTGATGCCCAAAGAAAGATGGTTCCAACAAATGCAGATTTTCCTCGCATGAGACAAGTCTCTGGCATGCACCAATGGCTGCGTTGCACCCTATGGTCTGCAAAGTGACGTAGGAAGCAACCATGTGGCCAATCAAAGCCAGAGACTGAGACCATTCCAAGACTTTCTCACAAGCACTCGCAACCTCAGAGCATTTTGTGGCCTCTTTGTATTTGGCATGAGCAAGTCCCTTCCAGCCAAGATGAGCTGGCTTTAGTTCAAGAGATTCAAGCACAAGACTACAAAATTTTTGAAGCCACGTAGCCGCATTGAAAGTGATGCTAGCGCATCGGGCTGCACTTGCTCTCATTCCTCACAAGCACAAGTCTGCCGAACCTACGCTGCAATCTTCGGCAATCCCTACCAGTACACGAAAATAAAGAAACCGCTTTTGTTTTGGTTGGTTTCTGGCACGGTCATATCTTGTTTGTATGTGCACATATTATATAGATATAATTTATGTATATATATATATACACATACATACATAGACTTACGGAACTATACACATGCATGCATTTGCGTGTTTGCACCGTCTACACAAGAATGCGCAAATACATGTAAATACATGATTTACACGGTTGTGCATTACTCGTAGGATTTATATAATGTATTTTATATTGATCTATATATGATCTATCTATCTATTTATATATCTATCTATTGTTTTGTCGATTTTTCGACTTTTATTTAATTCTCTAGCTGCTTTTCTGTAGACGAAACGGTAAATTGTGTCGTGTCTCAGCTTTGTTGCAATGTTAGTTTGTTCATGTTCTGGAAATCTCGTTGGTGTTTGTCACTTTATCTCAATCTCTACCTCCAAACGCTTGCCATACTGCAATGATGCTCGGTACTTTCATGTTTGGAAAGTATCTTCCTTGACCGTGACAGAACAGAAATGACATTGTTTTGGTTCCAGCTACATCTCGGATAGGCAATTGCGGTACGTCTGATTTGAATGCTATGGCAAATGCATTGAAAGAAATTACAGTACTATTCTGAATATTCTGAATAACTATACGCGCCAAACACAGAACTTGCGTTTGCATGCATATGACGGCTCAAGTAATGTAGGACCAAAGCGTCGTCGAAGCACCGACAGGCTCACAGGCCAAAGCCCACGCTTATCACAAGAGCTGATGACAGCTGTGCTGCCTTAGCCGCCCAGCCAGGTATCAAGAAACATTGGCATCGTGCTCTGTTGCAATATATGTTCCAAGAAAGAATCGGCGTGCAAACATTAGATGAATAGCCACATTAGCCATGATATGCATTGATATGCCATGATTAGCCCCTTAGCCATGGTGCCAACTTCATCCGGTGAAGGCCGCTGGAGATTTATCTCACAAAACATTTGGGCAGCAGCCTGCCAAAGCCCAACTCGCGCCAACGCAGCCAGGGCTGCGTTGAAGCTCACCTGTGGCAGCTGTGTGGTAGATGATCTGACCCAAAGAAATCCCAGTCAGACTCTGTTGGGCCTGTGCGACCAGCTGCCTTCTTTGAATCCTGAGGCATCTTTGCCACTGAGCACAGAAGAATGATAGCTCCGCCAAACACCACCTCTCTTGCGCAAGCTCATTGCTGGCCAAGAGCGCCTGCACAGGAGCTGTAGTGAATGCCTCCACCGGTAGCCTGGCAAACGTTGTTAACGCAGTTGCTCAATCTTGCTCACGTTGCTCATGAAACACTCGAGGACGCACTGGATGCATGGACTTGCTGCCTCTTTCGCAGGCAGTGACTCCAGCTCCATAACCCATCTGCGATTCTGCCTCAGGCCTGTCTACTATAAACGGTTTCGGGTTGGACTGCATGTTGGTGGGAGGTGATCAGTAGCTTCCTCGTTGCTCAACCATATTAACTTATTTTGTTGACTCAATCCTAAAGGCTTTTAGGTACACACCCTTCTGGCCTGCTCAAACACTGCAACGCTGCCCGCCAAACTGCTGCTTTTGCAAAGGAGCTCACTACTGTGCTGAAGGTGATGCAACTGGGTCCTCAAATGCCAAAGGCAGGGGCCATGGGATGGTGTTCAAATGAGCTGTGCCCTGCTGCTTCTGCCGGGCATCTTTGGCCGAGCGAATGCTGCAGGCCAGCGACGGCACGCATCCACAGACTTTCATTCCTGCAAGCAATCTGAAAATATCTGGCACCTCTCGGCTGCAAGGTTTAAACTCAGACTCTGTGGCAGGTAAATGCTTCCGAGACTCTCAAAGGAACCGATGAGAGTGTTGACACTTACCAAGTCAGGTTGTACGGCAACAGCTCGCATCCCTTGGACAAAGCTAAATAATTTCAACAACTAAACCAGCAAACATATAAAAGGAATAAAAAAACACAAAGGCGAGACACCTGCCAGAACTGAGCTTGCATGAAGCCAAGCGGATGCTTTCCCGCATGCATTCGAAATAGTGTTGCACCCTGAGGACTCTCTTGGCAGCCAGTCAAAGGGGCTCAACGCGAGTGTGTTGTAATCATTGGATGGTCAAATGGAGCTCCTGTAACCCTGCACCCTTAGAACAACACCGGCAGAAACACCATAGGACGTACAACAGGACTTGCCGAGAAGCCGTAGGCATCAGCACTTGCAGCCGCAAAGGCCTGCAAGGCCTCCTGCCAGCGCTCACTGTGTGCAGCCAACGCTGCGTTCAGGCTGATCCTAGGCTGCCGAAAGGCCATTGCAACAGAGCACGTGCAACTGCTTCGCAACTGCTTCGAAGTGCTTTAAACTGCTTGGAGTTGATTGAATGTTGACTTAATGTTGATTGAATGGCCAAGGACATCTGGGGATGAAAGCTGCATGCCGTGAATCTGGTCCAAACGCACATGCATCTGCAGACTGCTCTCGGAGAGGTTCAGTGCAACTGCCCAGCGCCCAGCAGATTCACAGCAAGTAGAGACTGTACTTAAGATCTTCGGGTTCTGCGGCACGTCTGCACTTTTGCCTCTGTTCAGAACACTTTGCACAATCAGCTCGCTCTGCAATAGACACATATTGATCGTATCGATGCCCTCTTTGCTTCACAAGCCTATACAGATTCAAGTTCTGGCCCCGCGGAACAAAACAAACTCTTTAGGCCAAGCGCCCTGCCACAAGCACACGGCCCGCTGCCAGCGAAGGGCGCGTCTGGTTGCACCCAAGGCCAAGTTGATGCTAATGTGGTCAGAGCTCAACCTCAAGATAAACAAGAATGAATTGTGAAAGGCATCTGCATTGCTGCTTTCAATTCCACTAGTTTGAGTTTCCTGCCCTGTAGTCGCCAAATCGTCAAGCAAGTGCAAAGTACACGGCCAAGCACTTGCATATTCGGTTGCTCTCATGGCACTATTGAAGCAAACCTTGGTGGTGGACCGGACCCAATTCCAAAGAAAAACAAAGAAGACGGGAAGAGTGAACTGCGACTGAAAATCAATTGTTTTCATCCAAATCTGCATTCTACTCAACTCGGAAAAGCAACAAGTGAACAAACAATCAAGCAGAGTTTGAGGGATGAACTACATTGGGTTCGGCATTCATCCCTACCATCTTCTCCAGCAGGCCGACACCATCTTGCCACATACCACACCTACAGGCCACAGCACTTGGCACAGATTCTTGCCGTAGGAGATCAACGCCAGGTTTGATGCTGGGATCCCGCCTGTCACATGCACCGATCGCGTTGCTAAAATGAAACGCATTCACTTCCAGATCCGAGTTCTTCATAGCATCCTCAGGGCAAAGGGCCATCACATGGCCTCATCTTTGCAGCACTTTGCTGGTAATTTCGTGGCTACCTGCAAAACAAATTGATGGTCAAAAGAATCCCGATATTCCCGATGCTATCCGAGGTTCCAGGATTTCTCCAGCCTCACTGGCTAGAACTGCCTTGGCCGATAAACACTGCTAGTCGCAACTGTTGGGTACAAGTGCAAGGTGTTGCTAACCTCATTTGGATTGCTGCATTGCCATATCCGTAGTTCTTGTTTCTCTGGTTTCTCACAGTTCTCACAGCTCGAGAGGCTCTTTTTATCACATGAAGGATTGAAAGCGAAGGCATTTCCTTCGCCGTGCGATTCTTGGAGGCAGGAAAGGTTCCAACAGAAGTTGCGCTGCCGGATCCTCAGCCACAAGCGCAAAGCGGCACCAGCATGATGAGCTCATGAGATATTCTGAGCAAGTCAGAAGACAGCATTATGATGTGTATATACTGTATAAATCTGTATAAGTGTATGCGAGATGCGTGCATGTGTGCAATGTAAATACATTTTTAGGCCACGCCCTCTTTAGTTCCAAGCGTAAATTTTGGTTGTTGAATGCGCGACAAGGAAAGAATCAACGTCATCTTTGACTCACTCAGAGCCTGGCCCACAAGGAAGCAGACATCAGCTCTATGACTTTGCCACCCGAGCCCTGCCAACTGCCGGGAGAGCCAAGCTCGAGGCAATAGCCTCGGCGCCGCCACAGCTTGCGTCTGCTCCGCCGTTGCTAGTGCATTCTGGCACCCCAAATCTGCTGCTGAGTTGCCTTTTTCTGCTCCTGTGTCGAGGCAGACACCTTGACCTGCGCTCCAGGCTGGCTCATTTTTTCTGCCAACACACAGACACACACAGACTGCAATGAGAGCAGTGTTGTTTCCAATGCTCTTCGATATATAAGATAAATACATTTGGATTGGTGCTCTTGCAGCTTGATGGAGGTTGTAATTTAACTGAACTTGCTCTTCCTTTTCTTGCAACGTGACGAGCTCTTCTCACTGCAAACAAGGCGCAATCATCGCAATTGGCAGCAGGAATCGCAAAGCGATCTTTGCATTTCATTCCATGTTCGCCAGAACAACATTCTTGCCAACGATCCTGTGAGCCAATGTTAGCCAGTCATCAGAGAAGAAATGCAGAACGGCACGTCCCATACAAAGTAAAACAGCAATGTCAGTCCTGCGACGCCTTGATGGGGCGATGTACCCAAATGCGGTCTGAACAGCCGTCCAACTCGTCCAACTCCTGAACTTCTGTCGCACCTAGTACCTGCCCGTGACCAGAAAAATCCAAGAGGGAAAATGCTTGAGGCATTTTGGGAAGTTTTGGACATTTTGGATAGCATTGACTGCACTTCTACAATCTCAGGTCAGGCTGCGGTGCCCTGTCTGAGGATAGCACTTTGGAAGCGATATCAGTACATCCTTGTCTCAATTCTTCTGCCTGCAAACTGATCAAACTGGATCTGCGAGAAAAACGTCTTGCGGTTTCGTCCTCAAGGGGTCCAGCATCCAGCCTTTTCACCCATTGGAAACTTCAACTTGCCCAAGAAGTCCGCGGAATCGTGGGAAAATGAACCTTCCATGTAAAGAGATCTGTAGTGTGGGCTAGTGGAGCTGCAAAGTTGAAACTGACCCTGGGTCCTTGCGGCTGAAATGGAACAGGAGGTGGACGGTGAAGGCTCTTGCGCAGTAAATTGAACTCGGTCAGAGTGTCAGTTGTCCTCAGCAATTGTTTTCATTTTTCTTTCCGGTCCACCCAGGCAGACCCCAGCAAAACATAGCCAAACTAGCACCTGCTGGAGACTCAAATGAAACTAAGACATAACCAACCAGCCGAGGTTCTCTCTTCGACCTTCAACTTGTTTCTTCTGGGCAAGTTCCACAGCTCTGCGGCGACACTGTGGAGATACCTCGTGCATTGCTGCATGGATGGTAAGCGTTCGGCATGCCATCCTCAGAGAAAATCATTGCATCTTGCCTGCAGGCACATCCAGCCGTTCTGCTCCCAAGGTGGTGCTTTTTGCAAAATCCGGTTCCATCCTTTCCTACCACGCTCGACTTCTTTTAAGGCTTTCCTCAGCAAGCAGGAGCTCCAACCAATGAAGAATAAAAATGAATAAAATGTCAAACAAATCGGTCGGTGGGGTTGCTACTTTTGAAACTTTGAGTAGAGAGTCTCGAAGTTCTGGTAGTATTGTGTCCTTCCCGTCTTGGAATGGTAGCACACTACCTCACATCGATAGTCTTCAATGCATCTATCCTTTGCTTCTTCAAGACCTAGGCAGGGCAGCAGGCACCAAGACCAAAGTATAACACCCCCAGTCATCTGAGATCTGGCAGGCATGAAAGCAAAACAGTCACACGCCACACAATTTCTGCATCTCAGCTACTTCCAATCCAATCTGCAGACCTCCTTTCGTCTCCCACGGAGTTCCATTCCTCCGTGTTGTGAAGGGCTTTGGCCATGTGTCAGATGCGTCAAGGTCAGCACAGGGCGGCCGATCTTGGGTATCTTGTTCTTGGCTCCAGCATGGTGCTGCTGGTTCTGCTTCTGTGCTGGCAGTTGATCTGTCTCCATAGTTTTGCAGCTAATGCAACTTTAAGGCACTTTGGCCATCTGAAGCTGGAACCAAAGAACTGCTGTATGCATAGCTGGTCCATGAAAGGTAAGCTTTTCCCTACAGTGAGTCATTTCAATTCATTTCAACGCCATGTCGTTTCTGACTTTTGCTGATAGATCAAGTCATGACATCTGGCATCTGCCGAAGCCAAGCACTTGCGCGACGCGGCTGTCCCTGAAGCTCCTGCTCAGCAAAGCTTCAACGCATCTCAGCTTGCAAAGCATGGAATGGACACCAAATCAACGCCCGAGCCCCAGCTCCTCGATCAAAGAGAGCAGTAGCTTGGCCATCAGTTGCTGTGAGCAAACGAAACTTTGCTAGCAAGTACCGTTGAGAACCATCCTGTCTCACGAGGCTCCCTAGACCTCTCAAAAACAGTATGAAATGCGCAATGTTGCAGAACTTGAGCCTAAAAAGTTAGACAGATTGTCATGGACGCTGGATACCTGCAACCATGCAGCTGACTAGCATCATGGCACTGCTGGGCTTTTCTGGATGAAAATCGAATGACTCATTGTTGCGCAGTGACTGGGAAAGAAAGCTCCGCGCCTGTGTTACATGTTCAAGGTGCCCCACACGCTCCGCCAGTGGCTCAAGCAGCTTTGCAGCTGCCAGCATTGAGCTATCCGCCATGAGAGTCAAGGCAGAAGATGGCGTAAATAAAACATTCGATGCCCGCTGTCATTCGAGAAAATGACGTGCAGTGTGTTGGGTCCCCAAAATGGCCGCCATTCCGCTTTGGAATTGGGGCGCAAAGGAGATGCAAATGTCTTGAAGAATTCAATGCCATTGCAATGCATCTATAAAGTCGCTGCAGGCTGGTGTGAAAGTGCCCACGTGTGAGCAGTGGCTTAGGCTTGTCATGATGCTCAGCATAACTGCAACACTCACTCTCAAGTTGTTTTTCCACTTCTCAGGCGAAGTCTTTTGGCCCTCTCCAGAACATCTCACAGCTTCCATCTTGCGGTGGCTGCTTCAAAGTTCAGAAGAGGCCTGCAATGTCTTGGCGAAAACCCGACATTTCTGTCAACAGCTTCAGCGGCTGACCATGATAGATCTGATCCCAATCAACTAAAGCAACATAACGTCTCTTGATTAGAGCAGTCAGAACAGGCCTCAGGACGTCTGACCTCAGAGCTTCCAACATGCCGTTTCTTCCCAAAAGCCTCTCCCCCCGCTCTCTAGTAGATATGTGTGTATATATAAATATATGTGTGCGTGTGGTTCGGCATGTATCGGGATGTTGGGGGGGTGTTCTGAGCTTCAAAGCTTCACTTGTCATCTCTGCATGCAGCTAGGTCAGGTCACTTCAAGGAGCAGCTTCCCTGTAGTCTCGCGAGATTGGAGGCGCCTTTGAGCTTCGGCCTCAGAGGCCGAGGACAAAACTTCCAACGTCTTCCAACATCTTCTAACATCCAATGACATGTCAACAACTCTTGCGAATACTTTATATAGAGACTCTGATGCTGGGTGCACTTCTGCTCCGAGTCGCTGCATCAGACAGCGGCAAAATGGTTGTTTGCAGCTTCAGCTGTTTGGCCTGTTTCACCCCTCCCCTCAAATTCAGGCACTCAAAATCCTTTGGACGTGCGTCATTGCCGCCAGTGCCTGCACCCAGCCCATGACCATGGCAGCTCGCGTTCGGAGCTCAGCGTCCTGCCAAACCAGCGGCCATCAGGAAGCAGTGCGAAACATGGGAATGAAGAATGTAATTTCATTACGCAATGAAACGTTGAAAAAATTGAAAGGAACCAGAGTCGGCATCGAACTTCGTCCAGCAAGGTCCTGGGCAATAAAGTCAAAAAGGGTCGGCCTCACTAAGGACTTGGAGCCTTTTGCCAACACCTTGGAGTGAAACGCCCAGATCTAAAGCGTGACGAGTGACAACACGCTGAGTATCACTTTGACTTTGACTCTGCATTGGTATCACTGGTATCACTGGCCCTCTGCACGCTGAGTCTTGTCGACGTCTTTCTTTTGCAGCGGCTGAGGTTCGCTCATCTAAGTTCACACTGCGCGGGAAGCCACTGGATGCTCCAAAGAGCACCATGCCACCACGAGGCTGAAGACAACTAAATCCTGAGGGCAAAAAAGCCAACTGCGCAATTGTAGTGTTTGAAGGACCAAACTTCAAAATTGCTCCTAGAAAACCGTGTCTTCAGCCGAGCCTTGCAGGAAGGTCATGTTCCCAATCCCATCGTAGATGGCAGCAACTCCCTTGTTTTGTGTCATCTGAAGCACCTCAGCTGCATGCAGCTGTCTCATTTCTTGCCTCTCCACTCGATTTGAGCTGCATGCCGCTGCACGCCAAGACACTTCAGAGGCAAAGGTGGTGTAGTCACTGATGATGACTTCGTCAGCCCCTTGTGTTGGTTTTGCCGCAGCTGCAAGCGCATGTCTTTTCAGCATCTTCAGTCCAGCGGCTGAACAGAATGCAAACAAGAATGGTGCAAGTCTTTCCCTCGGACTTCCCTGTGCTGCTCCGCGATATCCTATTCAACTCTCTTGTAGACAGCCTGCTGCTTGGGCTACAGCAGCCTTCTCCTGCAAACTCCAAAGCTCTCCGCACAGCATGTTCATGGTCTACTGTTATGGAGTGCTGTGGCATATTGAGCGTACGGATCTCCTTGCATGACACTGTTGCTATGACTCGCAGGCCACGAAGCTTCGCAACCTAGTGAGATTGAGGCTCAAAGACGCTCAAACTCAAGTTGAGTTTCAAAATGTTCAAAGCCACTCAAGTGTCGTCGTCTTTGCATGCCTGGATGATCAGGCGGCCTGTGCCACCCGCTCCAGCATGAACTAAGACCTGCAACATATTGCGCTTGAAGCAAAGCAATGGAGACATCTGTGCAAGCAGAATAGTCGTTGAGGCTCTGGGCTAAGGCCATGACAGTGTCATTTCGCTGAAGGCGAATGGTGTCATCTACTAGGTATTGCGCAGTCAACCCCTCGGCGCAGTTGGTGGCATCACGCAATGCACAGGCCAACCACCGATCGATGTCAGGTCCTGAAGCAACACTGCAGCAGCATCCCGCAGCTCAACTTCACTTCCTGCACAGACAGCGAACTTGACCTCAGCCTGTCCCAAGTGCGACATCACGCTGTGCAAAGGAATTGGCATAATGGGCAAACGAAGCATGGTGCAGTCCTAGAGGCACAAGACGTGCTGCTGGGACTATTGCAAACTCGGCATAGGCCCCTGTCAGGTGATGGAGACGTTTGTTAAGGTCCAATATTGCCATGAAAATCACTTCAAGTACATAACGATGATGTTACACTGTCCAAAGGAGAGGTAAGGCATGGTGAGGCCACCACCAGCTCCTTTGTGCCTCAGATTTTGAGGATCTTCAACAATCATCTGGAATTTTGAGTCTGTGGTGCCGCAAGGCCCTTCCGAAGCCCATCCTGTACAATCTGTACGTAAATGTATTTTCTCTCTCTCTGCACATATTATATATATATTTATATTATACACATAGCAAGATATGATATAATATTATATATATATACATATCCTATCCCTCTCTCTCTCTCACTCTCTCTGTGCTCAACATCAGAACCTGAGACTGACAGATTTCCATAAGAACAGTGGCTGCGAGCGGCCAAGATGCACAAAAGCTACCCGTCGTCCAAGCCAAACTTCAGCACCAGGACCGGCGCTCTGAACAACACCACCTGGCCACAAAGATTGGAGACATCGGAGACATCCGGAGACATCCCGAGCTATCTGGGACTTGGCAAGCCATGGCCCAGGTGAGCCAAGATTTTTGACACCAGCCTTCAAGTCCAGGAACCAATGGCAGTGTGGACCTCATTTCGAATGGATTATGACTCAAAGGAAGCATCTGATTGGTTTCACGTACCGTGTCTGAGTGCTCCCACGCATAGGTGCCCTGAGCCATGCGAAGCAAGAGTAATGCCAAATGCTCACCAGGAAAAAGGATGTAGCGATAGGATGCTACATGATGCTAGCTGCCCTACCCACAGGCCCCAACCATCCCTAACTCAACAGCCTCCCGGAAGTAAATGTCGATGAAGTTGACGCCAGCATAGGCAATTTGTACTTGTACTTCTCCAGGCCCGGGTGAAGGCAGAGGCTGTCGCATCACCTTTGCTTCAGCTTGGTCAGGGCCTATGGATTCTATGACCTGAACATCGAAAGGGAGGCAAGTTGAGGCAAGAAACAAAAATAAGTCCGGTGACCTGTTAGAACTCTGTTGCTCAGACAACTTGAGCTTGGGCTTGCCATAGCCACACAGATCCCGCCTTGATCACACCACTGTCACCATGTTCTTGAACGACCCCGGCCAACATCTCGGCAGTCTCCGCCACTGCCAAAAGTGGCAGCGTCAGAAGCAGCCCAGCCCTGCGTCGAGACAAAGTGGCAAGGTCTTCAAGAATGTTTGGACGCCAAATGGCTGGAAAAAATTGTATTCAGGAACAACAATTGATGTAAACTATGTAAACTTATAATGATCCCGACCTGAAAGTCATTGTCACACAGACAGCTGGGGCAAGGTCTGCTTTCCCAGAATGGCACTTTGGCTATCATTTTTTAAAGAGCCGCAGGCTGGCATGAGAGCGAAGTGGAGTGGATATGAGCTCCCGTCAACATCACCCTCGCAATGTCAATGGCGGGAAAACAGATGAAAACACAGAACATGCCAATGAAAACGGAACATGCTAAAATTCAGCTACGGGCAGGCCCTCCAGCACTTTTTATTCTCAAAAGTCTATATATATATGCCAAATCTGCTTGTGGCTTCAGAGGCGGTGGATGTTGTCTTCAACAACTGTACTGTAAAAAAAGACAAAGAGAGATGAACACCTGAGCAGCAAGAAGCCAGAGAAGAGCAGGAGACAAGCAAAATTCCGTCAAAAGGAGTCCTCAAACAAAAGAGTGAAGTGTCCAAAGAAACAAAGCATTGATGAGCTGCCCTCATACGGCCACACTGCACAGCAAAAACATGGCCAGAACTGGCCTGCGTTGTGCAATCCTGAAGAACCACCAACTCAATCCCATCTTTCTTCATAGAACCTTTCAAAAAGAAAGGTACGGTCTGCATCTACTATTTGATGTCATGTCATCACAGCCGGGAACGCACGACCGCAGACACCAACAAATGAAACATTTACGCCCCACCCCGCTCTCTCTCTCTCTCTCTCTAATTGTTTGATCTGGTGACAGAATGGCTCAAGCAACACTTCTTCAATGCGAAATGCCTGTGGCTATGGCATCAGAATTTGGAACGACAACTTTTTGCATCATCCTTGCCGGTGTCAGTACATGCCGCTACTGCAAGCCAAAAAGCTTTCTGGCTCAATCCCATCTTTCTTCATAGAACCTTTCAAAAAGAAAGGTACGGTCTGCATCTACTATCTAATGTCATGTCATCACAGCCGGGAAAGCACGACCGCAGACACCAACAAATGAAACATTTACACCCCACCCCGCTCTCTCTCTCTCTCTCTCTAATTGTTTGATCTGGTGACAGAATGGCTCAAGCAACACTTCTTCAATGCGAAATGCCTGTGGCTATGGCATCAGAATTTGGAACGACAACTTTTTGCATCATCCTTGCCAGTGTCAGTACATGCCGCTACTGCAAGCTAAAAAGCTTTCCGGCTCAATCCCATCTTTCTTCATAGAACCTTTCAAAAAGAAAGGTACGGTCTGCATCTACTATCTAATGTCATGTCATCACAGCCGGGAAAGCACGACCGCAAACACCAACAAATGAAACATTTACGCCCCACCCCGCTCTCTCTCTCTCTCTCTAATTGTTTGATCTGGTGACAGAATGGCTCAAGCAACACTTCTCCAATGCGAAATGCCTCTGGCTATGGCATCAGAATTTGGAACGACAACTTTTTGCATCATCCTTGCCAGTCAGTACATGCCGCTACTGCAAGCTAAAAAGCTTTCCGGCTCAATCCCATCTTTCTTCATAGAACCTTGCAAAAAGAAAGGTACGTCTGCATCTACTATCTAATGTCATGTCATCACAGCCGGGAACGCACGACCGCAAACGCCAACACATCAAACATTTACACCCCACCCCGCTCGCTCTCTCTCTCTCTCTCATTGTTTGATCTGGTGACAGAATGGCTCAAGCAACACTTCTTCAATGCGAAATGCCTGTGGCTATGGCATCAGAATTTGGAACGACAACTTTTTGCATCATCCTTGCCGGTGTCAGTACATGCCGCTACTGCAAGCCAAAAAGCTTTCCGGCTCAATCCCATCTTTCTTCATAGAACCTTTCAAAAAGAAAGGTACGGTCTGCATCTACTATCTAATGTCATGTCATCACAGCTGGGAACGCACGACCGCAAACGCCAACAAATGAAACATTTACACCCCACCCCGCTCTCAAGATTGTCCATTTAATCTTGCCTGAAGTAAGGCGACTCTACGATCTACTATCTAAATGTCACTGTCATCACCGCCATTTGAAAGGCAGCCCGCAAAACGGCCAAAAACATGATCGTGTCTGGCTCAAGATTGTCCATTTCATCTTCACTGAGCCTGAAATAAGGCTCTACGATCTACTATCTAAATGTCACTGTCATCACCGCCATTTGAAAGCAGCCCGCAAAACGGCCAGAAACATGATCGTGTCCGGCTCAAGATTGTCCATTTCATCTTCACTGAGCCTGAAATAAGGCTCTACGATCTACTATCTAAATGTCACTGTCATCACCGCCATTTGAAAGGCAGCCCGCAAAACGGCCAAAAACATGATCGTGTCTGGCTCAAGATTGTCCATTTCATCTTCACTGAGCCTGAAATAAGGCTCTACGATCTACTATCTAAATGTCACTGTCATCACCGCCATTTGAAAGGCAGCCCGCAAAACGGCCAAAAACATGATCGTGTCTGGCTCAAGATTGTCCATTTCATCTTCACTGAGCCTGAAATAAGGCTCTACGATCTACTATCTAAATGTCACTGTCATCACCGCCATTTGAAATCATGCAGCCCGCAAAACGGCCAGAAACATGATCGTGTCCGGCTCAAGATTGTCCATTTCATCTTCACTGAGCCTGAAACAAGGCTCCCAACGATCTACTTATATCTACTTCATATCCAAATGTCACCATCTTTTGTTGCTTACTCCAAGCATTCCACTTCAGTTTTGCCTTATTATTCCATACAAGTTTTGGAAAGTTCTGTTTGTACAAAAGACAGATCGATATTCACTACGCAGAGGAAGACCTGTTTGACATTGCCTTATGTTACATATTATGTAATTTCACATTTACACCACACACTCACACACATGGCATTGCATGCATTGCTCGACACTTTTCTCCGCAGCATCGACTCGACGAAAGTGCTCTGTACAGCTAAGGGGCTAAATAAAATTCTGCAGCCTGCCAAGCATTAAACCCACTTTACCGGCGCCTTGGGTTGCAACTCTTCCTCTCGCCGAGCAGCACAGGAGCAAGTGAATGTGCTCTCGCTTTGGCAGTTCAATCTCTCAGTCATGTTCTTGGCCTCCAGTCCCATGATCGAGGGAGGGTAGTTTACATTTTGCCCAGTGTCTGCGAAGTTGGACCACCAATTTTGAACGCCTTCGAATTTGGAGCCAGGACCACTTTCACCCAGTTCCTGTGCCATGGCAGCTAAAGCATCAGTGCCCCACTGCCAAGTGACCTGTTCAACGGAGCTTCTCAAACAAACTGCCTCTGGAGAAAGGCTCGGTTGAAGAATCACAGCTTCCGCGACGTCTCCTGCAACATCTGTCCTCAACCCCCGAGGATCCTTCACAGCTGCAGGTCGAGGCGGCAGCGTCCGTTCTGCTGCGAAACGCTCCACACCTGGCCACCCAGTCTTGACTCCACCGTCAGAGTCATATGCATTCGGACGCCAGCGATAGATCCAATAGCCCTTTGCATCTACAACAACGGCGAACACGTATGGCTCATCCCAAAGGTTCTCGAACCTCTGCGTGCTTTTTCCACCTCCACCCCAATGGATATTTTCTCGCCAAGGCCTGCAACCCGCCTCGCTTACGTTTGCAGCACATGCCTCTCGAAATTCCTCTGGAAATTTGAAAGGGCCTCCTATGCCATTTGCCTGTGCTGAGGTATATGAAACGGGCATGCAGCCGCTGGCTTGTGCATTCCTTGTCGTGAAGCAAGGCAAGGAAACTTTTTTCTGGAGTGATAAGTTAATGCCAAGACCTAATCTTCTTACACATCACCCCGAAAAAAGTTAGATACAGCACAACAAAGCTAATCCTCAAATCTTCCATACCATCATTGGTCCACCAAGGGAACATAAGGAAACACCACAAATACGTAACTAGCCCAAGCGGCTCCGTGCTGTAAGCCATATTAAGGTTGCCTGGTAGTGGCTTCCCAGGGCTCCAGCCAGAAGTGCCTTCAACGGGATCCAGCTCCCACATCCAGCAGTTGGTGCCAGTTGGAAGACCTCAACCAGCAAGTGGTCAGACCGGGTCAAACCGGGTCAAACCAGTCAGGGTTTCGATAAAGCGTAACTTCATCATACTGATCATGCTTCAGCAATCTTGATCATGCAGCTAGTCACTTGGTCAACCCGCAGCTCACCATCTTGCGTGCCTTGTCCATCTAAGTTAAGACCCAGCTGTGAAAGCATGTAGAAAGCACCGTAATAGAAGTTTTCGGCACTCAGAATCCACAGACCAGCTGGTGGTGTCACTCCGCCTTGGCTGAAACCCAAGGGTTACCACATGCTATCAGCAAGGTCGTAGGGACCCTTTGCACATCGCAACGACAAACTGCTCAAAGCCTGTCAAGAAGTCCAAGGAAAAGGAAACATAGGAAACACTTGAACGGATTGAACGCGTCTTCTTCAACATTCAAACATATTCAAACCAAATGTTTCCCAAATGTTTCAAGATCTTCGGACGATTTTTTGCATCAGAATTGAAAGCTGAGCGGCGTGGCCCTTCCACACCTGCACCCCGTGCCCAGGGAGCATACTTTGTGGTCCAATCGCCGCCCCGCCACTGAAATGAACTATTCTTCGCCTTGGCTGACAAATGACACAAAATGACACAAAATGACACAAAATGACACAAACGTCCTGAAGACTGCACAGCTTTTTGATCAACCTCGAAAACTCTACTCTCAGGAAGTGATGTTGCAGGCAAAGCAGCAGAGAAACCGGTGTTTTGCCAGTAATTGCCGCTCACACCTGTTCAAGTCTTTTACATTGACATTCTTTTACCAGGGATATCCAGGGATGCACATGGCATGTTTCAGGTGCATTGGAGTACTGAGTCTGGTCGCGGCTTAGCACCTGCTGTACTTAGCTCACCAGCGGTGGAGTCGTCCATCAGAATAAAATTCCTCAAAGGCGGAGCATGGCGGAGCTGCGAGCACCAAACGTTAGATGTGTTGATATATGGGTGTGTCTGAAAATAGTGTACCCCTAAACCCAATGGTTAATGATCATTATCCCTATTAAATGGCTATAATTGGGAATATACCCTATTTTCAGACAAACCCATATGTTGATATGATATGACATGAATTGATATGAGATGAGCTAATCTCATAATCTTCTTTGCTACCGTTTTGGAAACCCTCTGGAAACCCACCAAGCAATCTCCGCTAAAACAAGAACTTATGTTTTGGCGAGTTGGTAGCTTAAAGTAGCACAGCACGCTTGAAGCCCGGCTTCGTTCCATCAAACTGGTAAGCAGCGACGTAGTTGATCTTGGGGGATCCGTCTATGACGCACTGTGGCATGTTCCAGCAGAACTGGCCAGTGCCCTGGGTCTCCTCGTGAGATGTTACTCGACTCGTGACCAAGCCAAACCCAACATCCCAACATATGCTGCTTCAGAAGCTCATCAGAATTCATCACTGACTCATCAGACTGTTGGATGTTGTTGAGACCTGCCTCACATGTGGCAACCACCCAGTTGAAATGCGGACGGAGGCCACAGCAAGTTCCGCAATGGTGCCACATTTGAGGATTGCCGTAGCGGCAGCTGAGACTTGTCGTATCTGTCGCGCCTGTCGATGCTGATGCCACATTGATTCTGTAAGTTGACATTCGCAGAACTTGAACAATTTGAACAGCAAGCACTTTGCTCTCCCATGCTCATTCGCACTATTTTTCTACAAGCCTACCCAGTGCCTAGCCTTGTATTTCAGGTGTAGGATTGGGGGCATAGAGACGCTGCGCCGTTTTGTTTTCAGTGCATGGCGTAGGGTTTAGCCTTAGCTTGGCAACTGTTGCAACCACCCCGCCAAAGCGTCCAGCAGATCCAAGTTCCTACACCAAGCAGCTCTCGCAGCGCTTCTGCGAGGTCATCCGGGCCGGCAAAGCCTTTCACTTTTAAATATCTTTGACACTCCTGCCATCTCTGATCCAAGTGCTGTTTCCATCTGTTTCCTGTGTTTCTTGTAGAAATCACACGTGTTTTTGTTTTGGGAGCTTTGTGTCAGTCAAAATTCATTGCCTTTGATACCTGTCTCTCTCTTTCTCTCTCTCCCTGTAACTACAAGGCTGCGGATTTCGAGGAGGATGAGGAAATCAAGGCGCAGATGTAATCGCGTAGTTTCATAAAAAGAAAATGCTGATCAGCTTTTGTCTTTGGCAGTCCTCTCCCAGGTGTGCTCTCACCAATGAGAAGCAGGCAAAAAGCAAAGTTCTTTGCATGTTGCGAATTTCGCACCACGGCATGGCAGGGTTTACGGCTGCGTCTTTGTGTTTCAGTCTCATGGTCTGAAGTGTCACTGCTTAAACTTAAAAGTAAACGTAAATCCGTAAATACGAAAACTCAGGGTTGCTCCCAACACCCCAAATACAAAGCCCCGTGTGGCTATGGTTCTCATGGGCTGGAGCAGCCCTGATATTGCCAAAACATGCCAAAACAAATCACGAAAAAGGGATCAAACAGTAGATGAGCAATCGCTTCGGCGATGTCCTGTTGAGGGCTTTTTTGACGCTCGACACCACTTTGAGATCTTTGAGTAGGTTTGGCTGCACCGAGGCTTTTAATAGTAGACTTAAAGTGTACAGTTGGTTTTCAAGATTGTGAATCACACACGCAGATAGTTCCTCAGCAAAACAGCGATTTTTGTTCTTTCAACATCGTTCAACCTCCTGTACATTACAAGTACACCGCAGTCTAAGTCGTGGTCAAGCTGTCACAGCTGGGAGCTTGGAAGATGCCACTTTAAACGTCTAGCTCCTATGTACAGCGCTGTGAGCTGACTTCCACCACCAGAAAGAATCAGTGCACTGTGAGCACCGATGTGTAGAGAGCATATCGCTCACACTACGTGTTTTGTGCTGTCACAATTCTGCTAAATTTAAAGGTCCAGAACATGCAGAGTGGTCTTGATGCCATACGGATTGTTTTTGTGCAAGCTTAAGCGGGAAAACACGTCCGGCTTGAAGACAAGCGACACCTGCACGGCCACATCCACTTGGGAACCAAACCCAGGCCCGAGACCATTGGCAAATCAAAAAAACAAGCTGCGGCTTGGGCCTTCTTTGCACGCGCAGCAAAAGGATCATCCAGCAATTCACCCCAGTCCCCTTGGTAGCATCGCAAGCCATGCCGTGCGGCCGCTCGTAAGCTCTTACCCAAACTCATGACCGACCTTAGCAAACTTCCCAATGGACACCAGATGAGATTGTGAGCCTATCGCAGAGTCCCTCAACATCTTACAACTTTGAATCATTTGCTCCAACTCCACCAGGCAGCTCCGACTGAGAGATCGGCCGTTGATCAGTGAAATCCATCGTATGCGCACTGATCATGAATTTCTTTTGATCTGTAGTTGGCATGTGCACAACTAACTGGTAGCAGTGCAGTTGCCCATCGCGCAGTCGCTGAGATGCAAGCGTAAAAAGCTCCTCAGCTAGTCAAGGATACCCAGCCTGTACTTTCAAGCAAATCAGATGCTTGGGGCTTGGAGGGAAGCAACCAAGAGCAACAGATTCCTTTTTGAAATGTGTCCTACATCACCAAAACCAGAACTCTGTGCATAGTTTGGTTTTGGTGCCGTACTTTCATACTGTGGTTTTTTCCTCCCACTGTAAACCCGCAAAAGGAAACAAATATGCAAGCATATGCAAGCCAAAGCACATCAATGCGCCACTCAGGCACAGAGAGCAACCATTTGCCAGTGAGAATTTGCCACTTCTTGGCAAGTTGAACTACCTGGGGGCATCTGGCCAGGCCATGAGGACCAGACCGCATATCGGCATTGCCAACAGCAAAGGTATTGACAGGTATTGACTATTCTCAATTATTCTGATACACTGGAACTGGAACCGAGTCACCTGCAAACCTCGAACCCGGAACCAGCACCAGAACCGGAACCGGCCGAACTCCATGAAAAGTCAAAAAAGGTCAAAACAGCCAACTCTGTTGTTTCAAACCGCTACGTATCTAGATTCAGTGAAGAAGGGAAACAGCAATAACTTATGATACGCGATGATATGAATGTGATCCAATGTTCAAACCCAAGGCACTGTTGCTTGTGTCAGGGAGCCAGTCTTCTCGAGCCTGGCTCCATCATCCAGCAGACCTTGTAGGTCTTGCGCATCACACAGATTCTCCCCTGGCAAGGCCAAAACGTTTCACATCGTTTCACTTCATTTTGAGGGCAAGGGGTTGAGAGGGATTGCTGCCTCCACGCCACACGCAAATCTGTTCTGATTCTCTTGCACTAGGGCGATGTTGGGTCAGGAATGCGTCCAGCTCTCCACTAGCTTCACAGGTCAGCACCTGACATGCAGGACGGCAGGACAGCTTCAAGCAATGAAAAGAAGGCTTCAAAGGCGTGCAAAACTTTCCGCAAAAGTTTCTGCAAAAGTCATCAAAAGCCCGCATGATTGTCCAGTGATTTCCAGTGCCTGACGCTTTGGTCGGACAGGTGCTCCAGGAGGCCTTGGCCGCACGACTGCAGCAGTGGAAACAGACACGTCATGACACGGCATGACACGTCCACATCACCGAAATCAATTCATATTATCTCCCAGCCTGGCAGAGCTGAGGTCATTGGATTTTCGACGTGGAACGTAGAGGTTGAGCCCTTTTGGATTACGGCCACTCCGAAAGTCCTTGGAAAACTTGAACATGTGTAACATGAGGTCGAAATTCTGGCATGTCAACTGTGCCATGGAGCAGCTGTTGTACTCCAAATCAAAACCGAGACTCCCGTGGCTCTGCATATTTCTCCTTCTGAGCACGTCGTCGCCGCCCAGGAGCAGTTGCAGGTACAGCAGTACTTTGTGCGTTTTGTGCGCATTTCGTGACCTGCCCGCAAACTAAGCACGTGCCTAGTGTGTGCGTGGTTGTGCGTGCATGTGACGAATGCTTATTCAGAACCAATGCCAACAAGACTGCTTTCAGCAACTATGCAGCGTTTTGGCAAAGTTTTTTAATTTTGATGTTGTTTGGTGCTCGAATACTCACACGCATCAACCGCATTCACCTTAATCAGGCACTCTAAATCTGCAAAGTTCACAGCCCGCTCGAGTTGCTTTCCGAGCACCAGTGCTGCGGCAGTGCCTCAACGGGCGCTGGGCACTGGGGTTGACAGGAAAGCAACTAAAAGGGAAGCTTTCACCAGCAAAACATTGCCTATGGAAACTGTATGAAACTGTGATATGGATCAAAGTTTGCCATATCAGACTCTTCACGACGGTTGCCAAGTCTTGAGGTTTCCGCTGTCTTGCCGAAAATATGCATGGTGATCTAACTGTTCCAACCAACTTCCTCCTGGGCAGTGCGGAAGTCGGCGCAGAGATTGCACAGTTCTATGGCCGATAGTAGCTTAGTACAATATGCGAACGAAGGCACTTTTTGATAACATCCACGCACAGGGTGCGAAGAGGCGCATTGACAGGCACACCATTGAAAGTTTGCCATCCTCCTGGCCACAGGTTTCTGTGACAAATGGTTTCATGCTCACAAAATGTGGGGAAAGAATAAAGCCTCTGCATGTTTTGAAACAAATGATTCACCCTGCCTTTTGCGGGCACATCACCAGCACAAGTTCAGATAAATCCAAGAAACTGGGGTCCACAGCTGGCCTGCAACAAGACAGGTCAGCAAATGTCTCCAATCTGTGCAAACCCAAACATACCATGTAATACAGTGTATACAGTGTACTTGAGGCCGGGGGTGGATGACGAAAGCTAGCGGGGTAGGAGAAAGAAGGAACGGAAGAGGTGAGTTGCGGAGGGACTGTCATCATCGTGTCGCGGCATTGTTCGTCCCAACGAGGATGCAACAATGATATATGATATATGATATATAACAATGATATATATGGGGGAGGGGGCAGGGGGGGGCCCTTTCGCGTGAAAAAGCATGTGATGTCCTTGGGGAGCCCCGGAATACTTGCTAAAGCAAGAAGACTCTAGCGAGCTGACGCTAGCTTTCGTGAAAATGCCAAGAATTGCCAATAATGATAAAATGTCATTGATTAACGATGATGGTGATGATGATGATGATGATGATGACGATGACGAGGACGAGGACGATGACGATGACGAGGACAAGGAGGAGGAGGAGGACGAGGATGATGATGATGATGATGATGATGATGACGATGACGAGGACGATGGCGAGGACGATGACAATGATGATGATGATGATGATGACGATGATGATGACGATGATGATGGTGGTGATGGAGATGATGATGATGATGATGACGATGATGATGACGATGATGATGGTGGTGATGGAGATGGAGATGAAGATGATGATGATGATGATGACGATGATGATGACGATGATGATGGTGGTGATGGAGATGGAGATGAAGATGATGATGATGATGATGATGACGATGGTGATGATGATGACGATGACGATGACGATGACGAGGACGATGATGACGATGATGATGATGATGATAACGATGATGGTGGTGATGGTGGTGGTGGTGGTGGGGGGGGAGGGGGGGGGTCCCCCCCTTTCGCGTGAAAAATCACGTGATGTCCTTGAGCAGCCCCCGGAATACTTGCTAAAGCAAGAAGACTCCAGCTAGCTGACGCTAGCTTTCGTGATATGTATATCAAACCTTTGCCAAGTTTGGCCTGAAATCAGCCACTCCTCGCACTCCACAATGCAAGTCACCATCTTCCCATCTGGTCTCTGGTTCCTGCCATTCAGGATTTTGAATTTTGGATATTTCAACTTGTGATGCCAAAGGAAAATCGCGATGATCCGAACCGATGATCACTCGAACTTACGCGAACTGGCTCCGGCCTCCACAATGGTGTGCGAAGCAATCATCTTCCAAATTGCGCGGTCCAAGAACATCCGCCGGTCTAAGACAAACCAATCTTGGCACACTTGCCACACATCCTGGAGCACTGCTAGCACTCAATGAAGTTCCATGAAGTTCCATATGTGCAATGTCAAAGGTTGTCAAAGATTGTCAACGGTCATGTGGAGGCACAATCAACACAGTTGCAGAGTTTCGCAATGCAGCATGCCGCACCTCCAGCGTGTTGTCCACAACAAGTCGTTGCTTGATCATGCCCCGACTTGCCGCAGTGCAGGGTTTCAATTCTGTAATTGCTTTCATCGGTTGCTCCCAGTCGATCACCTGTGCGCAAAACGGCCCAGAAACACCAGGACAAAACTCGTCATGGAATTGTCGAGTCCCAGACCCTTCCACCCTGCCTCTCCTGGCACGTTGGCCGACACATTCTCAGGTGTGACAGTGCCCATGTACCTAAGCATTCTTGCTCTGATGCAGTTGGCCAAAAAAATAATCGGCTGCAGTCCTGATAACAAAACATGGCGGCACCAAGGCCAGCTGTGTTCCCGTAGAAAAGGAGAACACAGAGGGAGAGAGAGCAAAGAGAGAGAGAGAGAGCAAAGAGAGAGAGAGAGCAAAGAGAGAGAGAGAGAGCAGAGAGAGAGAGAGCAGAGAGAGAGAGAGAGCAGAGAGAGACAAGAGAGACAAGAGAGACAAGAGAGACAAGAGAGACAAGAGAGACAAGAGAGACAAGAGAGACAAGAGAGACAAGAGAGACAAGCGAGACAAGAGAGACAAGAGAGACAAGAGAGACAAGAGAGACAAGAGAGACAAAAGAGACAAGAGAGACAAGAGAGACAAGAGAGACAAGAGAGACAAGAGAGAGAGAGAGAGCAGAGAGAGCAGAGAGCAGAGAGCAGAGAGAAGGAGAGAGAGAGAGAGAGAGCAGAGAGAGAGAGAGCAACGAGAGAGAGCAACGAGAGAGAGCAACGAGAGAGAGCAACGAGAGAGAGCAACGAGAGAGAGCAACGAGAGAGAGAGAGAGCAACGAGAGAGAGAGCAACGAGAGAGAGGGCAAAGAGAGAGAGAGAGAGCAAAACAGAGAGAGCAAAGAGAGAGAGAGAGCAAAGAGAGAGAGAGAGAGAGCAAAGACAGAGAGAGAGAGAGAGAGCAAAGAGAGAGAGAGAGAGAGCAGAGAGAGAGAGAGCAAAGAGAGAGAGAGAGAGAGCAGAGAGAGAGAGAGAGCAGAGAGAGCAGAGAGAGAGCAAAGAGACCAGAGAGTGCAGAGAGAGTGCAGAAAGAGTGCCGAGAGAGTGCAGGGAGATTGCAGAGAGATTGCAGGGAGTGCAGGGAGAGTGCGGGGAGAGTGCAGAGAGAGTGCAGAGAGAGTGCAGAGAGAGAGAGAGCAGGGAGAGAGCAGAGAGAGAGAGAGAGCAGGGACAGAGCAGAGAGAGAGAGAGCAGAGAGAGAGAGAGCAGAGAGAGAGCAGAGAGAGAGCAAAGAGAGAGAGAGAGAGCATAGAGAGAGAGCAGAGAGAGAGAGAGCAGAGAGAGAGAGCAGAGAGAGAGCAGAGAGAGAGCAGAGAGAGAGCAGAGAGAGAGCACAGAGAGAGCACAGAGAGAGCACAGAGAGAGCACAGAGAGAGCAGAGAGAGCAGAGAGACAAGAGAGAGCAGAGAGAGAAAAGAGGGCAGAGAGAAAAGAGAGAAAAGAGAGCAGAGAGAGAGCAGAGAGAGAGCAAAGAGAAAGCAAAGAGAGAGAGAGAGAGCACAGGTTGGATGGTGAGACAATAGTTTGGAGACATCGGGAGAGCCGGACACCACCACCTGGACAAAGCCGGGCACTTTTGAAAAAAGAATTCAGAACCCCAACAGTAAACTGTTTGGAGTAAAATCCGCAGCAACCAATTCGAATGACAGAACGCCTTCCAAAAAGGCGACAACTTGCATCTGATTTCCAGACGCGAACAAGCGCAAAGAAAAACAAAAGCGCGGGAAATCGCCTTCGAATGTGGCAAGGAAGAAAAATCAAACAACATGCCAACCGCAAAACGAATAGACCAAACGCAACAACGACCAAAGCCACCTCACATGCAAACGCAACGAACACGAGTAATCTTTGCCATCCCACTTTTTAACCACGGCCTATCGCTGTCTCATGTAGGAAAGTAAGGGTCAAAATCAACTTGGTGGAAACATCCAGCAATCGAAAAACTTAAATGCACGCCAGCCTGTTCCAACCCCAGGCCAAGCGCATAGCAGCAGCATCCGCACAAAGTCTTCAATCTTTACCCCAATCCAGTTTATATTCAAACGCCCTACCGAAAATAGAAAATAAAAGAGTGGAGTGGGATGTTGGTTCGGGAACCCCAGGTCCAGAGAGGGCCGGGTCGTGCCAACCTACGTGCGTCGCCCTTTCAAACACCTGACAGCGTCCATGCCCAAACTCCCTGGATAACAAAATAAGCTTCGGTGGTATCCCCAACAGCCGCAACGTTTCATCTTTACAAATTTTCTGAAGCGTCCTACGAAGCCAAGCGCTGCAAACCCCTCAGCTGGGTTTCCGTCAATTAAATGGCCGCAAATCCTGTTGAACTTGACCTGGCTGCACCAAAGTCTCCCAGACTTTCTCCGGAACCTTTTCCGGGCCAGACCTTCTCCGGAACTCCGGAACCCTGTTGAACCTGACCGCTCCGCACCAAAGCCTCCCAGACCTTCTCCGGAACCTTCTCCGGAACCTCGTTGAACCTGACCCGGCGCCTGCACCAGTCCACACCGGAGCTATTCTGGGCTGAAGACCCCATTAGCTTACGCTGTTGGGGAAAAGAAAAAGAAAGAACTGGCTCCATTGGCGGCAGTAGCAGATGGTGAGATGGTGCCAGTGTCTCCGGTGGCAGCTGAGACGTTCAGTGCTTCTAAAAGCTCAGAATGGCCTGTGCTGTATGAAGGGGGACCGGCTACAGCTTGGTACAAGCGCATCGGGAGAGAGTGGGGACTGCACTCAACGTGTACAGCTGCGGTGAGACTAGCGACCCAGCACCCTGCAAAAAGGATCGCGTGCCTGGGCCTGGGCTGAGGCAACTTTTGCTGTCACATGAGACCAAAAGAAAAATTCCAACGGAATGTCGTTTTTGAAGCTGTGGCAGTGCAGTTGCCAACAAATGCATGATGGGAAATTTATCGAATCTCGAGGCTCTTCCGGGCCCGCCCTGGCCCACCTTGGCCCACCGCTTGGGGTCAGTGGGTGACGCTGCTTGAAACATATGACGTACAAAAAACACAGTGGCCACAAAGGCCTAGCAACTTCGTTTTACTCTGTTGTCGCAGTGTGCTATGAAATATAAGAGGGTACGTTCGGAGCAGCGCAAAACAGTCTGCAGCAGTGATGATGGCGTGGGAATATTGTTCGATTTGGCGTGACGCTTTTGCAGACGGCTGCGACGAAACGAATCGGACGGCTGCGCGCAGCAAAGCTTTCAGTGATGCTGCGGCGCTTCTGGGAAGCAGGATTTTAGCTGGAAATAATTTAGCGGATTGCAACACCGTCTCAACAGCAGATAGTTCTTGGCCATGATGTGGTTTGTTTGGGCTATGCGGGATTGTAGGTAGAGGTCGCACTCATCGTACGAGCGCCGGGCCCAAGCCACATCATGCGGGAAAAGTCACATCATCCCCATGGCACAGCGGCGATTCAGAAAGCCACATCAGGTAGTGGAAAGTCACATCAGGGAAGAAGAATCACCATGGCACAGCTTGTTTCATCTATGATTAGAGATTTAGTTAAAAGTAGCCGAAGCATTGCGCACAGCGATGATTTTGAAGGGCACAAGTTACTACAAACAAATTCTCGGCAGCTATTCCTATTGGATTTGAAAATATTATATTGATGTCCTGCGTCGCGCGACCACATCAAACCCCTATTGGTACAGCCTCAAATTTCTTTCAGAAGCAAGCAGCAACAGCAGCAGCAGCAGCAGCAGGAGCAGCAAGCAGCAGCAGCAGCAGCAGCAAGCAGCAGGCAAGCAGCAGCAAGCAAGCAGCAACCAGCGTTTGCCCCCTTGAAAGAATGAACGAAATATAAGCTTTTTATTTCTTCACCGCACATCCAATTTCTCAACTGATCAACGGCTTCACTGCAAGCAGATTCACGCCTTTCCTTTTTTTAAACCTCATCGGGGGACTTCAAGTCTTGGCCTCATAGCCCACTATCTCACGAACGGTGGGTTAGGCTGTACTGTACGCCAGGAAATGTCTGTAGTACCTGGAACTTATGGAAATTATTGCTGACCTTGGTGAAAGAGATCGTGGATATTTTCCCTGATCTGGTTGATCTGCGTCTGGCAGTACGCATCAAGATCCCTAAAGGTCAGTCGGGCTTGTTCAACTCGATGCTCCCAATTGCGATTGGGTTTCCAGGGAGTCGCCGACGTCGTCGGTATGGATGAGTGCTGCTCGAACAAGTTGCTGGAATGCCACAACTCGTTGCAGGGTCTGAAGTTGGGCTACGAGTTGGTGATCCGCAGGATCCATGGGTGGTGGGCGGGCCAGAGCAGCCAGAGAACGCAAAAGCGCTTCCCACCCTCCTCACCCTTGAGCAAAGTCTCAACGAGGGTGTGAATCATCTTGTTTACAGCCAACATTCATGCAATGAGAAATTGAATGCAAGCTTTGATTGCGTACACTCCATCAAAGTTAGCTAAAAAGAAATAAACGTTTGTTGACTACGCCAACTGCCCTCATTATTTCTTCACCGCACATCCAATTTCTCAACTGATCAACGGCTTCACTGCAAGCAGATTCACGCCTTTCCTTTTTGTAAACCTCATCGGGGGACTTCAAGTCTTGGCCTCATAGCCCACTATCTCACTCCCCCTTCTTAAGTGGGGTATGAGAGCATCTGGATCTGGCACGTCCCAGAATTCCAGCTAAATCCTCTACCTTGGATTCTAACTATGGCTGCAACATGGCATGTTCTCGTGACCGTGAAGGGTGGTCGGCTACGTTAGCTTCTGTAGGTATCGCATACCACGCCAACGAACTGAGCTCTTCTTCACACAGTGCAATCTCATGCACTATGCTTTCCAACACTTTGTTGGAGGAGTATCCTTTCAAAATCAAAAACCTAGACCCTTCATTATCCAAGAAACATACCAGGTGCTTTGACTTAAGGTGAAGTCCCCACAAGCGATAAGCCACCAGCACGGCTAGAGCTTCTAATTCTCCGATTGCTTGCTCCTGATTCTCAGCCATGAAGGAATCACAAAGGTCTTGGGGAACGATGCAGCCAAACCATTGAACGACATGGCCACACTTGTCCAACAGGAAGGCCCCAAGCCCTCCACTTCTGGCTTCACAATCGAAGCTGGCATCAGTGAAAAGAAATGCAACGTCACTGGTGGTGGCTTCGACTCTGCGTGGTCCAGCTTTGACTGTTCTGTCGGCCACCATCTCCAAGGCTCTTCTGGTACCATCTCCCAAGATGCCCCTGGTTGGGGTATGCATGGCGTGATGCCCAAGTTCATTGATCAACCTTCTGATCGCTCTACCAAACAACTGACCTTCTGCGAAACCAAGTCTCCCTTTGAGTGATGCCGCTTTTGAAGAGGTCATCCGTCCGGCTTGGAGGATCTCCGCTATTTGCCCTGCTATATCCACCTTCCTCTTTTCAGTGTTGGCCACAAGGATGACCCCATCGGCGCTCTGTGTCAGATCGAACACGCCCCCAAGTGCGGAGACCTGTTCGCTCGTGCTATCAGCTTTTTCGCCGCTGCGATCAAATTCCCAACCCGAGGAGATCCAACAAAAGTTCGAAAGCCTTCTCAGTATTGGAGGCCACTGCATCGGGGGCCATGCACACATAGTCATCAAAGTAGCAGGTGACTGGGATGTCTAAATGGTGTGCCAGCCACTGGATCATTCTGGCGCAACGGCCACCACACTAGCCTTTGCACCAAAAGGCAGGGAAAACTGTTGAAAACAACGTGTGCTACGATCTTCAGGGCAAAAGACTGCAAGGCGCGCCCATTTCAACGACCCATCTTTTACTGCAAGTTGACGATAGGCACTCTTGAGGTCGAAACTCCTCCCTTTCAACTTCTTGGGAAGTCGCCCCATGCCCAGGGCTCTCATCAACTCAGCTCCCATGGCGCTGATGGTATCCACTCCATCAACAGTGCAGCGTCCGGTGATGTTGACAGCGTCGTTGATCTGTGACTCAGTGTAGTTGTCTATGGGCCTCACCTTGTCCTCCGCTTGAACCACAGCGAAGCGCCTCAACACTCGGCGATCATCTTTGGGCAGGCCAGGGAGTTCGGCAAGCCAACCCTTGCTTCATTGCCGCTTGACTTGGTGGAGTGGAAAACGGCCCTATTGCTGCGTCCTGCATGCTCAGGTCATTGATGGTCAAAGTGGCAGGTTGAAACTCAGCGGGCAAAATGCCTCCACCCTCTGCGGTCCCCACCAAGCTGAACCCGTCTCTCATGTCCTGGACGATCCCCAGGTCAGGGTATTTAAGGTCTTCAAGAATTTCCTGAAGCACCAAGAATCTCTTGCTCTTCAGGATGTTTCTGCGGTGAGGTGGCAAAGCCGCATGCAGTTTGGCCTCTTCAGCCCTGAGCTCAAATGCACGTGCCGTCCATCTTCTGAACCACTGCGCTCTCCTCAAGACTAAGGCTTCGAAGTTGGCAGCGGCATTGTTCTTAATGGATGACCTCAGGCTTTTGGGAATGCCATCCACCAAATTGGCGGGGTGGCCTCTCTTCAACGCCTCCTCTATGAAGCCCTCTTCAGTCCAGGGGACGCCAAAAGCAACTTGAACTCCACTATGAGCGTTCTCCCCCCCATCTTGCTCATGGTGAGGGGCCGCTGTGATGCGCAAAATGCGCGCGTGTTGTGGAATGCAAACGGAGTCTTGCTGAAAGGCTTCTGGAAGCTTGGTGCCCACTGTAAATGGTGGCGTGGTTGTAAGGTTTTGAGTCTCCACATGGCTCCATTCAGGCATGAAGGCTAGAGACTTCCTGGTCTGCTTCATGCTGTGGGCTCTGGCTTTCTTGTCCGGGTGGCTTGGCAAAGATTCCAAGGCTCCTTTGTAGGCGCGCTCCACGACACGTGCAATGATTGCTGCCAATTGTTTGCACAGCTGTAGGGGGTACTCTACCTCTGTGGCTGTGGCAAAGCCTTCGGCCGTGTAGCCCCAGGGCAAGTGTGAGTGTTGATTGGTACACTCACATGCCAGCTCGGTGAGTTCGTTGATGTCCGTGGCAATCGTGGTTTTCTTGGGTCGCTGGCCACCGAACATGCATGAATGGAAGGTGACGTAGAGGGGCTGCACGAAAGTTAAAACAAAGTGCCAAAAACTTGTTGCCCAAAACCACGACCTAGCAGGCTGTTCCAAACTCCATCGAACTCCTCGCAAGATGCAGAGCACAATGAGACGACAACCTGCGGCGCAGACTCTGTTCGCTGCTGCTACCCGTTCTGCATCTTTTGCTGGAAGGTTGGGTATGCCGTCTGGGTGCTCTGCACTTCTAAGTGGGGCTGGTGCCCTTGGCATGTTTGGCAGTGCTATTTCTCGGGCTCGGCTCGAAGTCCCGCATGGGAGCCCAAAATGTGCATAGGCGCACAAGGGGCTATTGATGTAGGACCTGGCAAGTTCTTCTCCATCTGGTGTCGCGATATCCAACTTCACAATGGGAGCTTTGTTCCTGGTCGACGCCAAATGAGCCTACCAGTCCAGCTTTCCTGAGCTGTCAAGCCGCCCGTGCCAGAGCAAAATTCCACTGCGAACGGGGAGGCTGTTTCGGTTGCTTCTCCAGCGGCGGCCAGAAGTCCTCTTGAAGTTTGCTGCTGTATTTCTGTTGCGGCGGCGGCTACCTTGTTCTCGTCAAAGGATGCTTTAAGGTCGCAGCCACCAACATGTGGCGGTTGTTCTTCGACAGCGCCACTGGGCTTGCATTGAATTCCAGATTGGGACGGGGTTGACCCGTCTTCGGGGGGGCTGGCCCCCGCTCCTCATTTCTTGCTGCATGAAAAGCGCGGGTGCTTCTCAAGGCATCCACGCGTACAGCAAACATGTTTCCCTTTCTCACATGACTCACCAGGGGCGGCCTTGCTGCAGCCGTCTATGTTGAAGCCAAAACAAATGCGACTTCCATCTGGTGTGGTACTTGCGCACCCCTTCAGCTGCAATGGGAGCTTGCCGCCATTCTGGCCTGTGGCTCCCTTCTTCTGCTTCCATTGCCCCTGTTTTTGGGCTGCGCCATGAGCTCGACTCATTGCCTTTCCAAGGAGCGCCCCAGTTCTGCTTTTCGGGCTTGTCCGGCTTGGCTTTCGGAGCGGCTTTCTGAGGTTCTACCGTGGGCAACATGTAGTACACCACGGAGTGGTCCTTGTGCATGTCCTCCAAGATTTTGTCGAGTGGGCGTGTGCCGTCTCCCTTAGGCTTGATCCATCCATCCATCCATTGAGCTCTTAGGCGCCGTTCGATTGTGGCACCGAGCCACTCGCAGTCCAATTACTAATTGGTTCCCATTGGCAAGTAAACAGAAACAGAAAGAACATGTGAGGTGTTGTGATCCATACATGATGGGTGTGAGTGCCTGAGACTGATGATATAGTGACATGTCATTGTAAAAACTGTGAGTCCTGTCAACTTTTCGGGTTAGTGAAAAGTGTAAAGCATCCAAAAACTGGGAACTCACATGCTTTACACTTTTGCAAGTTATTCACAGATTATAATCTGCAAGTTATTCACAGATTTGCGATACGTTCCCACTATATTCCTTAGTGACGTGTGGAAAAAAAGTGAAACTCCACCGCCAATGATTGCCGACCCATGATCCATTGGGGAAAACAGAAGAAATGTCCGCAGCTTCGAGGTTGCGTACTAGGCCAGCAAAAACTTCTTGAGTAACAGCCGGAATTCGGGGTCGGTTCCATTCCGGTCCAGTAACTTCCGCGAAGACAAAAACCCCCCCAAAAAAAGGAAGCTAATAGTGGAGGGATTGAGGCCTGGACCATCTTGTTCAACACGCAGGCTTCTTTTAACCGATTGAGGACTGGAACCAACAACGTGTGGTTCCATGACATGAGTCGGAACCCCTGGGTGACGTGTTGAATCTCAATGGTGAGACGGGTGAGGTCCTGGCCTGGCAGAAGTGGGATAGAAACGGGAGTGTCGGGGTGTTGTGTGGATGATATGTGAGCGTGCACTGTGCTGCCGCCAAAGAACGGCCAGGGGTCGCCAGAGGACGTCGGGTGCCAAAGAACACCCTCCCCCGTCATGCAAACTGTGATGTGTGCGTGTGCGTGAGCAGGTATGTCAGTGTATGTCAGTGCGGTAAACAACGAACAACTCAAAACACATGGCGAGAGACGAAATGGTTGAGAAGGATCACTACCAAACAAACACCCAAAAAAAAATAAGCCGACGTAGATCCCCAACAGCGGTTGGTTTCAAACAGTGGTCCAACTTTGCAACCCAAGACGGATTAATGATGGCAGGAACAGGATTCCATAGCCTAAGTCTCTTCGGCGATTTTTTGCCCGCCTTGCCCCCTCCCCTTTTGGACCAAAGGCAGGATGAGACATGTTCTTTAAGAAAGCGCGCATAGTTGAATTTACATACATTTGGTTACAAACGAATGGCAGTATTTGCAGACCACGGTGTGTCATTAAGTGTTTACAAAATTGTGTGTGTGTTGGTTTGTGATTATCTTGTCGTGCTTGGACAACGTCGGTCAGTTTGCGCAAGTGATTGGTGAAACAGTTGGTTTTGGCCAAATTGTCCATCATGATTCCAGAATTAGTTTCATGTCAATACTTGGTTGTTGTGTCACAACTGTGTCTGAAGTTTCATTGTGTGTTACTGTTTGGTCACTTAGCTTTAAAAAAATCATCTACCTGGCTTCGAGAAGCCTCACACAGGTTTGCTGCCAATATTTAGGTGTTCCAAGGCATCGAACTTAATTGCTTGATGTGGCATGTGCTTTGGTAGATGCGACATCGGAACAGTTCAAACAGAAGATTTTACAGCAACATCAGAACAGGTCAGTCGACCGACGCTGTGCGCCCACTGAGCAAACGAACATGAATTCGGAATTTAGTGAGGGGCCACAAAGCACCCAAGATTGGCTGGGGGATTTCCGGAATCCCTTGTGTTCCTGGAACCTTGTGTCCCTGGAACCTTGTCTTCCTGGAACCCTCGTTTCCGGAACCTTGGCGCAACCCACAGCGTATATTGGAACCCTGGGTTTCCGGAACCGAGACGCGCTGATTTATTGTTACGCTGTCCCCCCCCCTGTCAGCGATTGCTCGTTGACCGGGCCCTTTTGGTCCTGGAACCTTGGTTTCCTTGCAAATTGGTTTTCTGGGACCCTGTCCGTAGCATGAACCTTGGTACAACCCACGGCGTATATCCGACCCCTGGGTTGTTTCCGGAACCTCGGAACCTTGCCAGAACCCTGGTTCTCTGGAACCTGGGCTGGGTTTCTTGAAAATTGTTGTTCCGCAACCTTGTCCCTGTCCGGAACCTGTGGCATAATCCAGGAAGTATATCCAAACTGTGGGTCCGCATCCGCGGTGGTTCTCGGAACCTTGTCGGAACCCAGTGTTGCTGGAACCTTGCCGGAACCCTCGTTCCCCAAACTCTGGGTTTCCAGGATGTTTCAAAATTGGTGTTCCGGTGATTCCAGAACCGCTCGAAACCATGGTAAGGTTCCCGGAACCTTGTCGAAAGCCAAGTGTGCCCGGAACCTTCCTGGCGCCGAGAACCTGGGGATCCCGGAACCTTGACGTCCCGGAACCCAAAAGGTAGCCAGAACCCATTGTTCCCAGAACCTTGCTTGAAAGTCTGGTTTGCGGAACCTTGGGTTCCTGGAACCTTGCCCCGAACCCTGGTTCCCGGAACCCTGAGTTCCGGAACCTTGCCCGGAACCCTGGTTCCCGGAACCGGCAGCGGTTGGTTTCAAACAGTGGTCCAACTTTGCAACCCAAGACGGATTAATGATGGCAGGAACAGGATTCCATAGCCTAAGTTTCTTCGGTGATTTTTTGCCCGCCTTGCCCCCTCCCCTTTTGGACCAAAGGCAGGATGAGACATGTTCTTTAAAAAAGCGCGCATAGTTGAATTTACATACATTTGGTTACAAACGAATGGCAGTATTTGCAGACCACGGTGTGTTATTAAGTGTTTACAAAATTGTGTGTGTGTGTGTTGGTTTGGGATTATGTTGTCGTGCTTGGACAACATCGGTCAGTTTGCGCAAGTGATTGGTGAAACAGTTGGTTTTGGCCAAATTGTCCATCATGATTTCAGAATTAGTTTCATGTCAATACTTGGTTGTTGTGTCATAACTGTGTCTGAAGTTTCATTGTGTGTTGCTGTTTGGTCACTTAGTTTCAAAAAATCATCTACCTGGCTTCGAGAAGCCTCACACAGGTTTGCTGCCAATATTTAGGTGTTCCAAGGCATCGAACTTAATTGCTTGATGTGGCATGTGCTTTGGTAGATGCGACATCGGAACAATTCAAACAGAAGATTTTACAGCAACATCAGAACAGGTCAGTCGACCGACGCTGTGCGCCCACTGAGCAAACGAACATGAATTCGGAATTCAGTGAGGGGCCACAAAGCACCCAAGATTGGCTGGGGGATTTCCGGAATCCCTTGTGTTCCTGGAACCTTGTGTCCCTGGAACCTTGTCTTCCTGGAACCCTCGTTTCCGGAACCTTGGCGCAACCCACAGCGTATATTGGAACCCTGGGTTTCCGGAACCGAGACGCGCTGATTTATTGTCACGCTGTCCCCCCCCCCTGTCAGCGATTGCTCGTTGACCGGGCCCTTTTGGTCCTGGAACCTTGGTTTCCTTGCAAACCCACGGCGTATATCCGACCCCTGGGTTGTTTCCGGGACCTCGGAACCTTGCCAGAACTCTGACCTTGTCCCTGTCCTGAACCTGTGGCATAATCCAGGAAGTATATCCAAACTGTGGGTCCGCATCTGTGGTGGTTCTCGGAACCTTGTCGGAACCCAGTGTTGCTGGAACCTTGCCAGAATCCTGGTTCCCCAAACTCTGGGTTTGCAGGATGTCTCAAAATTGGTGTTCCGGTGATTCCAGAACTTTGGCACAATCCAGGCTCTGGCTGCTCGAAACCATGGTAAGGTTCCCGGAACCTTGTCGAAAGCCAAGTGTGCCCGGAACCTTCCCGGAACCTTGACGTCCCGGAACCCAAAAGGTAGCCAGAACCCATTGTTCCCAGAACCTTGCTTGAAAGTCTGGTTTGCGGAACCTTGGGTTCCTGGAACCTTGCCCCGAACCCTGGTTCCCGGAACCCTGGGTTCCCGGAACCTTGCCCCGAACCCTGGTTCCCGGAACCGGTTCTCGGAACCCTGGTTCCCGGAACCGGTTCTCGGAACCCTGGTTCCCGGAACCGGCGAAACGAGGCGGCAGGGTCGAGCAGTGCCCCGGAGCACCCCGAAGGCTATGTGGGCTGAGACCCCAAAGCATTCTGCTGTTGGGGAAATAAGCCGACGTAGATCCCCAACAGCGGTTGGTTTCAAACAGTGGTCCAACTTTGCAACCCAAGACGGATTAATGATGGCAGGAACAGGATTCCATAGCCTAAGTCTCTTCGGCGATTTTTTGCCCGCCCTGCCCCGTCCCCTTTTGGACCAAAGGCAAGATGAGACATGTTCTTTAAGAAAGCGCGCATAATTGAATTTACATACATTTGGTTACAAACGAATGGCAGTATTTGCAGACCACGGTGTGTCATTAAGTGTTTACAAAATTGTGTGTGTGTGTTGGTTTGGGATTATCGTGTCGTGCTTGGACAACGTCGGTCAGTTTGCGCAAGTGATTGGTGAAACAGTTGGTTTTGGCCAAATTGTCCATCATGATTCCAGAATTAGTTTCATGTCAATACTTGGTTGTTGTGTCACAACTGTGTCTGAAGTTTCATTGTGTGTTGCTGTTTGGTCACTTAGCTTTAAAAAAATCATCTACCTGGCTTCGAGAAGCCTCACACAGGTTTGCTGCCAATATTTAGGTGTTCCAAGGCATCGAACTTAATTGCTTGATGTGGCATGTGCTTTGGTAGATGCGACATCGGAACAGTTCAAACAGAAGATTTTACAGCAACATCAGAACAGGTCAGTCGACCGACGCTGTGCGCCCACTGAGCAAACGAACATGAAATCGGCATGTGCGGAACCCGCCACAAAGCACCCAAGATTGGCTGGGGGATTTCCGGAATCCCTTGTGTTCCTGGAACCTTGTCTCCCTGGAACCCTCGTTTCCGGAACCTTGGCACAACCCACAGCGTATATTGGAACCCTGGGTTTGCGGAACCGAGACGCGCTGATTTATTGTCACGCTGTGCCCCCCCCTGTCAGCGATTGCTCGTTGACAGGGCCTATATGGTCCTGGAACCTTGGTTTCCTTGAAAATTGGTTTTCTGGGACCCTGTCCGTAGCATGAACCTTGGTACAACCCACGGCGTATATCCGACCCCTGGGTTGTTTCCGGAACCTCGGAACCTTGCCAGAACCCTGGTTCTCTGGAACCTGGGCTGGGCTTCTTGAAAATTGTTGTTCCGCAACCTTGTCCCTGTCCGGAACCTGTGGCATAATCCAGGAAGTATATCCAAACTGTGGGTCCGCATCCGCGGTGGTTCTCGGAACCTTGTCGGAACCCAGTGTTGCTGGAACCTTGCCGGAACCCTCGTTCCCCAAACTCTGGGTTTCCAGGATGTTTCAAAATTGGTGTTCCGGTGATTCCAGAACCGCTCGAAACCATGGTAAGGTTCCCGGAACCTTGTCGAAAGCCAAGTGTGCCCGGAACCTTCCTGGCGCCGAGAACCTGGGGATCCCGGAACCTTGACGTCCCGGAACCCAAAAGGTAGCCAGAACCCATTGTTCCCAGAACCTTGCTTGAAAGTCTGGTTTGCGGAACCTGGAACCTTGCCCCGAACCCTGGTTCCCGGAACCCTGAGTTCCGGAACCTTGCCCGGAACCCTGGTTCCCGGAACCGGCAGCGGTTGGTTTCAAACAGTGGTCCAACTTTGCAACCCAAGACGGATTAATGATGGCAGGAACAGGATTCCATAGCCTAAGTCTCTTCGGCGATTTTTTGCCCGCCTTGCCCCCTCCCCTTTTGGACCAAAGGCAGGATGAGACATGTTCTTTAAGAAAGCGCGCATAGTTGAATTTACATACATTTGGTTACAAACGAATGGCAGTATTTGCAGACCACGGTGTGTCATTAAGTGTTTACAAAATTGTGTGTGTGTGTTGGTTTGGGATTATCTTGTCGTGCTTGGACAACATCGGTCAGTTTGCGCAAGTGATTGGTGAAACAGTTGGTTTTGGCCACATTGTCCATCATGATTCCAGAATTAGTTTCATGTCAATACTTGGTTGTTGTGTCACAACTGTGTCTGAAGTTTCATTGTGTGTTGCTGTTTGGTCACTTAGCTTCAAAAAATCATCTACCTGGCTTCGAGAAGCCTCACACAGGTTTGCTGCCAATATTTAGGTGTTCCAAGGCATCGAACTTAATTGCTTGATGTGGCATGTGCTTTGGTAGATGCGACATCGGAACAGTTCAAACAGAAGATTTTACAGCAACATCAGAACAGGTCAGTCGACCGACGCTGTGCGCCCACTGAGCAAACGAACATGAATTCGGAATTCAGTGAGGGGCCACAAAGCACCCAAGATTGGCTGGGGGATTTCCGGAATCCCTTGTGTTCCTGGAACCTTGTGTCCCTGGAACCTTGTCTTCCTGGAACCCTCGTTTCCGGAACCTTGGCGCAACCCACAGCGTATATTGGAACCCTGGGTTTCCGGAACCGAGACGCGCTGATTTATTGTTACGCTGTCCCCCCCCCTGTCAGCGATTGCTCGTTGACCCGGCCCTTTTGGTCCTGGAACCTTGGTTTCCTTGCAAATTGGTTTTCTGGGACCCTGTCCGTAGCATGAACCTTGGTACAACCCACGGCGTATATCCGACCCCTGGGTTGTTTCCGGAACCTCGGAACCTTGCCAGAACTCTGACCTTGTCCCTGCCCGGAACCTGTGGCATAATCCAAGAAGTATATCCAAACTGTGGGTCCGCATTTGTGGTGGTTCTCGGAACCTTGTCGGAACCCAGTGTTGCTGGAACCTTGCCAGAATCCTGGTTCCCCAAACTCTGGGTTTGCAGGATGTCTCAAAATTGGTGTTCCGGTGATTCCAGAACTTTGGCACAATCCAGGCTCTGGCTGCTCGAAACCATGGTAAGGTTCCCGGAACCTTGTCGAAAGCCAAGTGTGCCCGGAACCTTCCCGGAACCTTGGCGTCCCGGAACCCAAAAGGTAGCCAGAACCCATTGTTCCCAGAACCTTGCTTGAAAGTCTGGTTTGCGGAACCTTGGGTTCCTGGAACCTTGCCCCGAACCCTGGTTCCCGGAACCTTGCCCCGAACCCTGGTTCCCGGAACCGGTTCTCGGAACCCTGGTTCCCGGAACCGGCGAAACGAGGCGGCAGGGTCGAGCAGTGCCCCGGAGCACCCCGAAGGCTATGTGGGCTGAGACCCCAAAGCATTCTGCTGTTGGGGAAAAAAAAAACATGTTTCTTTACATCTGAGATCAACATATATCAACCTGGTTGACCCAGCCGGAGGCCCTCCTGAAGGTTGAGGTCAGCTCGGGCAAACGCGCCACATCGTAGCTGGATGCACTTCGCTGCCCTTCCAGCAGCCAGTCGTGGTTCCCGGAGGTGAAAATGAAGTCACAGCCTCTGGAAATTGCGGTGCAATATGAACAGGATCCCTAAGTTGCGTCAAACTCAAAGTAATTAGTTTTTCTTGAACGCTAACGCTGACTACACCAAGACCAAGGAGGTGTCTGAAGTGATGGGACAACTTTCATCACGTGAACTGTTCAATCTCATCTGGCTTTCTTGCTGGATGCAGCCCTGGCTATACATCCCGCTAACGGCCTGCCAGCTTCAGCTGCTCCAACACCCATGTAGTAGTACTGTTGGAAGGAAAGTTCAAAATGTCTCCTCCTCCAAAGGCAGAGTAGCCAGGCACTAGAGTTGCAACCAGCAATCCTTCATCTATCTCCCAGGGTCCAAGGGACAATTTGCAGTAAAACCCGATAGTTGATCCTTAAAACTCTGATTTCCTCCATTTTTCCTGACTTCTTTTCATGAACATGTTGTGAGGCGGCACCTAGAAGCACCAGGTCCACGTTCATCTCCTTCGCCAGGAGTACCAAGCGAGCAAACCTCGGTTGACCATGATCTTTCCTATCAGAATCGACATAAGCTCATGGTAAATGATGGAAATGTCACGCAACTTGCTTCAGACCCCCTGCTTGAGGGAACATTAGCTCATCTATGGCACTCTTGGGCTGGTGTTGTTGACAATTTGGTGTCGCGGTTCCGGCTCCTGCATGAGCGCAACTTGCGACTGGAAGAGTGGCACATGGCCCCATCTACACATGCAAATTTGCAAAATCAGCCCAAATGACTGTCAAGTCTTCTTTCATGCAGGCATGGGTCAAAACCCTGGGCAAGTTTACGGTACCCTTTGGTGCCCCTGGTCAACTGCGAAATGATGAGCAAATGATTCCTGGATGTTCACCCTAGAGATGGTTTCGTGGGTGACCTACCACCATGTGTTTGAAGGGCTTGTCGGAGGCTCCGCACGAAGGCGGAATGCATTCTGGATGAGCGGGGCGGTGCCTGACATCTATTTCACTCAACGGGCAAGTGCACATCTAAGAATCAGCTGCATCACGTCTGGCCGTTGAGCTTGAAATTCCATTTCATGCAAACATTCAATCTTTGCTTTCACCGCACAATCCCACATTGAGCAGCCCGACATCATTTGACAGTGAGATGTGGCTATCCGTGATGTGCAGCAAACGAACCACATTGGTCTCCTGCATTTAAGGGAAAAAACGGATTTTACAAGGCTCAGGCTTGGCCGGCTTGGCCTCAAAAAGTCCCAAGGCTGAAGGACATTTTGCAACCTTTCTTCGAAGTTGGAACACGATCCAGTGGAGATTCCATCAATTCCATTGTTGAACATTGTTGTAAATTGATGATTTAACTTTTAAGTGTGGGACAACTGGGGCTTTCTGGTTGTCATCTTGTGTTGCTGGACGACCGCACCCCCAACATTCTCCTGAGCGCCCAGGAGACGGAAAACGGCATCGAGGAGCAAAAACCGAAAGCACCAAGAACTGCAGACCATCCTCTTGGCTTGAGCCGAGAAGTCCACGTGCACAGCACAGCAGCACAGCAGCACAGCAGCCATCCGAGAAGTGACCCTTCCCTAGCCACTAGCCGTCACTAGCCACTAGCGATCCCCAATGGTTTCCACCTCAAGGCGGCCTCCCAGAATTCATGCTGCATGGCATTGAAAAATATGGAAACTATTTGAATTATTTGTAACTGCCCTGCTCATCGGCAGGGCCAATGGGATACAAATGCAGAATGATGTATGGCATGGCCATACGATATCTGAAGATCGTACAACTTCTGCTAACTTTGGCACAAGCCATGCACAGCTCCAGCTAGCTCCAACTAGCTCCGGCTAGCTCTACTCAGCTGACTGGGCAAAATTGGCCCGCTCAACCGGCATGGACCTGGGGCAAACCTCGATGATAACAAACGTCTGCCCGAAGCTTTCCCAATCCTCGCTGTGGGAACGCCCAAGTCATGACTTCAAGAGGACAAATCTGGCCAAACGCCCACATCAGTAAGTCAGTCCATATGTCAAAAAATGTCAAAACCGGTTTAAACATGTCCAAATGTTTCAAACCTAACTCTCAATCGATTCTGTCGCTTCTTTGCAAAGCTTTAGCCCCTACCAAATTTCCCATGCGGGAAGCCAGCACCAGCCTCCGGTGTCTTTACAACCAGTGGGCCACTGGAAAAGCCGAGCAGTTCACAAAACCTTCTGTTATCCCCAGCCTAAATAGTTTGAAATGTTCATGTCACGTTGTTATGCACATACACACATATATATATATACATATAGAGTAATAGATAAACACACAGATAATAGATACTTAGATTCGATACATAAGTAAATAAACAAATAAATGAATAGATGTATGTATAGATACGAGCATGCATGCATTTATAATATGCATTTATCATCTCATATCACTGGATTGTTTCACCCTCAAAGAAATCCACCCATCACCAAGGTTCCATCCAAAAGAGTCCATCGGCCTTCTGGTCCACCTCCAGCTCATCTGCCAGATCGGGATGGGCGGTCCATTCCTGGCTCTGGTCACACCAGGGCCCGTTCCACTCCATCTTGTTGCCCCAAGGGTTCCTGCAGGAATTTGTTGCAGGAAAACCGCAATCGAAAAAAACACAGAACAGGGGATCAGGAGAGTGCGCTTGTTGCACTCCTCTTTGCACATTCTCTATATTGACATATGTATTGACTGGCAAGGAAAAAACAAATTACAAGACTCAACTCTCTGAATCCTTCCCGTGAGGTGTGCAAAACTAAAAAACAAAAAAACAAAAGACCAAAAAAAACAAACCTGAGAAGGGGGGAACGAAAGCCAGCATACCATCCATCCCTATGTTCCCCAATATTTTTCACCCAGAGACTCTTCACCCAGAAACCCTTCTTGCACATACTTTTCACCCGTATACTTTTCACCCAGAGACTCTTCACCCAGAAACTCTTATTGCACAGACTTTTCACCCAGAAACTCTTCTTGCAAAGACTTTTCACCCATATACTTTTCACCCAGAGGCTCTTCACCCAGAAACTCTTCGTACAAATACTTTTCACCCACATATTTTCACCCAGAGACTCTTCACCCAGAAACTCTTCTTGCACGTACTTTTCACCCATATACTTTTCACACAGAGACTCTTCACCCAGAAACCCTTCTTGCACATACTTTTCACCCATATACTTTTCACCCAGAGACTCTTCTTGCACATACTTTTCACCCATATACTTTTCACCCAGAGACTCTTCACCCAGAGACTCTTCACCCAGAAACTCTTCTTGCATAGATTTTTCACCCAGAGACTCTTTACCCAGAAACTCTTCTTGCACATACTTTTCAACCATATACTTTTCACCCAGAGATTCTTCACCCAGAAACTCCTCTTGCACATACTTTTCACCAATACCCCTTTCACCCAGAGACTCTTCACCCAGAAACTCTTCTTGCACATGCTTTTCACCCATATACTTTTCATCTAGAGACTCTTCACCCAGAAACTCTTCTTGCACATACTTTTCACCCATATACTTTTCACCCAGGGACTCTTCACCCAGAAACTCTTCTTGCACATACTTTTCACTCAGAAACTCTTCTTGCACATGCTTTTCACCCATATACTTTCCACCCAGAGACTCTTCACCCAGAAACTCTTCTTGCACATACTTTTCACCCATATGCTTTTCACCCAGAGACTCTTCACCCAGAAACTCTTCTTGCACATAGTTTTCACCCATATACTTTTCACCCAGAGACACTTCACCCAGAAACTCTTCTTGCACATACTTTTCACAAATATACTTTTCACCCAGAGACTCTTCACCCAGAAACTCTTCTTACACAAACATTTCACCCATATACTCTTCACCCAGGGACTCTTCACCCAGAAACTCTTCTTGCACTAATTCTTCACCCATCTACTTTTCACCCAGAGACTCTTCACCCAGAAACTCTTCTTGCACAAACTTTTCACCCAGAAACTCTTCTTGTACATACTTTTCACCCATATACTTTTCATCCAGAGACTCTTCACCCAGAAACTCTTCTTGCACATACTTTTCACCCATATACTTTTCACCCCGAGACTCTTCACCCAGAAACTCTTCTTGCACATATTTTTCATCCATATACTTTTCACCCAGAGACTCTTCACCCAGAAACTCTTCTTGCACATACTTTTCACCCATATACTTTTCACACAGAGACTCTCCACCCAGAAACTCTTCTTGCACTATTTTTTCACCCATATACTTTTCACTCAGAGACTCTTCACCCAGAAACTCTTCTTGCACATACTTTTCACCCATATACTTTTCACCCAGAGACTCTTCACCCAGAAACTCTTCTTGCACATACTTTTCACTCATATACTCTTCACCCAGAAACTCTTCACCCAGAAACTCTTATTGCACAGACTTTTCACCCAGAAACTCTTCTTGCACATACTTTTCACCCATATACTTTCCACCCAGAGACTCTTCACCCAGAAACTCCTCTGAAAAATACTTTTCGCCCACATATTTTCACACATAGACTTTTCACCAAGAAACTCTTCTTGCACATACTTTTTCCCATATACTTTTCACCTAGAGACTCTTCACCCAGAAACTCTTTTTGCACAATTTTTTCACCCAGAGACTTTTCACCCAGAAATTCTTCTTGCACATGCTTTTCACCCATATACTTTTTATTCAGAGACTCTTCACCCAGAAACTCTTCTTGCACAGACTTTTCACCCAGAGGCCCTTCACCCAGAAATTTTTCTTGCACAGACTTTTCACCCATATACTTTTCACCCAGAGACTCTTCACCCAGAAACCCTTCTTGCACATACTGTTCACTCAATGTCCTTCTCTCTCCAATCTCCTCTAACTAGCTTGTCCATCTATCTGTCCATTGACTGAGCCCAGAAACCCCCAGAAAACCGGACCTAGGGGGAATCGATACCCACCGTCAATGTTTTGCCGCCTGGCACATTACCCCGCAAAACCATACTTTTTTTTCACTAAAATCACCACCTATTTTCCCGATGTTTGACCCGTTTGGGAACTACCCCCCCCCAGACCCCCTATTCTCACTTCGTTCGCAAATAGCAGCTAGTCAGCTTCCCGGCTGGTTTTCGTAAAAAACAAAAAAAAACAATGAAACTAACCCTATGTCACAGGCACTCTGGCCCAGTCGGTTTTCTTGGTTTTCTTTGTTTTTTTGTTTTTTTGTTTTTTTTTGTTTTTTTGTTTTTTTTGTTTTTTGGGTTTTGCTAACCTTTGACCTACTCTATCTTCTTTTGGTTCTTAATCAAATTTTGCAAAACCGGTCTGCATCCTTGCCTGTCTGTGTCCTGGCTGTGGAGGGGGATAACATGCGCCTAGCAGATGCCATGTCTGCTACGGAACATTTGCTTCTCCGTGAACTTCCGACTCATGTTCACGTAGGGCGGTTTTGTGGGGGGGAAACCTATTTTGTATGTTCTAGAAGAGGAATGCCTTATTTCCTATTTTCTGGAGGTGGTGGCTCTGTTTGTGTAGTTTTCTTCTGACCAAGGAATACCATCCTCTTTTCAAAGGAATGAACAAATAAAATTATACTGCATCCTTTTCAAGGAAACTTGCAGAAAGGCATGCTGCACTGTCCTCAGGGAATGCCATGGTCCCTTAAAGTGCAACTGCTTATTCAAGAATACCCTTTCAAAATAACCTCTTTTCAAAGGAATGAACAAATACAGTATATTGCATCCTTTTGAAGGAAACTTGCATAAAGGCATGCTGCACTGTCCTCAAGGAATACCATGGTCCCTTAAAGTGCAACTGCTTATTCAAGAATACCCTTTCCAAATAATGCTATACTTTCTGCAAGGAATACTATACTTCTTCAAATGACATGTCCATGCATTGCGCTTTCTTACAGAAACATCACCCTCTTTCAAAGGGATTGTTGTATATATGAAAGGGTTCCCTTTGATACAAGAACTTAAATCATACCATACTCAGCCATACTCTTTCACAAGCACTGCTGTGTGTCTTGAAGGCTACTTTCTCAAAGGGATGCTACACACTTTTGAAAGGAATATTGTGTATAATTGTATATTTATATACATATCTAATAATATCATACAGATTCATACAGTGAATTATGTTATTTGAAAATGATATTGTATTTTCCAAATGAATAATATTTTTCAAAAGAATATTGCATAACACCATTGTTTAAATCCATATTTCATGAAGCCATCAAGTACTGTCTGAAAGGAACGCCGCTTTTTTGAAAAACACCAATGTATATGCACATTATATCTTAAAGAAATGCTACCCTTCTCTAAAAGGACTACTACAGAGGTCTCTATGGAAGGAATGACATATTTTTATTAAAATATATGGAAGACAAAACGCACTTGTTCTAAAGGAATGCTATGCACATCTCAGGGTCTTGCTTTACACTTTCTCAAAGGAATGTTGCCCCCTCTGTAGAAGAATGTTGCATAGAGGTATGCCACAACTTCCTCAAGGAATGCCACATTCTTTTAAATTTTCAACGCTGACTTACGAGAAGCATGCTGTTGCTCGTAAAATCTGAGTTGATACTGTACTAGGGTTTAGAAATACAACTTTTCAAGGGAACATTATGCTTACCCTTGCAAAACATTCCATATTTCTCTTGGATGTAGGGAGCTCTGTCAGGAAGATGCAGTATTGCTTGAGGACAAAATGAAATCTTCTGTCAATCAAAAGTGCTGTTTCCTCTTGTTCACGCTTGCTATAAAGACATGCAACATAGAAGCAAACACAACTCTATCATTTGAGTATGGCGCAACCGGGCAAAATTGAAATTTCTCTCTGATATTCATTGGCTCAATACAATACAATATTTCATAGCAAACTGGCCGTATTTTGGCATATTTCTACCAAATTAAATGGTCTCAGCTGTTTGGCGGGTTTGCTTTCAGGTCCTTGTAGTTTCTTGTTGCCTGATGTGCAAACTTGGATATGTACCGTACACACACAAGACTTGAAGCCAACAGTTCTTCCACAATACATAGATGAAATGAGATCTCGAAGCAGTATGGCTAAAAAAACGCATTCTCACATTCCCCCGCTCTCAAAAAAAGATGCCACTGCTGGAGATTTGCTTACAATTTGAGATGACAGGCGCTTCCTGAAAAAGCAGTGGACTCATCATTATACAACTGAACCGACAGTTGACGAACAATTGAACATTCAAACATAATTACAAGCACCGAACCAATGAAGCAATTGCTGTCATAAACCTTAAGGAACTCCACACAAAATCAGACGCAGCAGAACGTCACATCAGTGCATGACGCCTACGCCCAACGCACAAATGTCCTGCAGCAAACCAGTTTGAAGCCTTTGCGCTCCACCGCATGGATGATTGAATAGGCATGTCCTTCCACCAAACCATCTTCCCGTTTGTGTTCACTTTTCTTCCCCGTGTGTATGGAGGCCGCCATGAGGAAGTTGGCCCGGTCGAACTTTTCCAAGTTGCCCCACATGGTATCCTGATCCACTTTGGCCAAGGTGCGGCCAGTTCCGATGCTAAACTTGATGCTGGAAGGGAGATGCACTTGTTTCTGCTGCCACTCCACAGGGTCTCGGCACCTGGCGACTTCATAGCCGCTGATGTAGCAGGAGAGCCAGCCCTCGTCAGGACCATCGCCTTCGAGCTTCTTGAAATGGACGCGATAACCAAATTTCTCCTCAGCAAACCGTATGGAAAATTCAGGCGAAACACAAATGGCAAAGTCTGAATACGTACTAACTTATCGCTGTGCCTTCGCTCGCTTCTTCGAAATCAACCGAATTTCATTCATGTGGCTTTGCCGTTTGAATGATTTACGTATTTCAACCTATGATGGGTGGAATCCTACCCACCTAGTTTGATGTCATGTGCTTGAGAACCATGGTTCTCCCTCTCTCTCTCTGATGCCTTAAGTAGACCTACGCTTCGTTCACTTATTTACAAATGTAAGTAAAATCAAGCATCTTGAAAATACACCATCTATAACTGGTATAACGGTATGACCCCATCCAAATCACATCCATAAATTCGTTTCATCCCGTTTCATGTTTCCTACTCTTTTTGAACCGCCGGCCAAGGTTCCAGCTCTAGAAAAACAGCTCCATGGCCCAAGCGTCCCAATTTCTCACTGTCCAGGTCACAGCCACTGCGGACGATCAAGCCGCGGGAGCCGGTGACGTCCCACTTGGGCCGATGCCTGCTGATTTCAGCCACAAATATCCAAATATTATCAAAATCCATTGAAAATCCATTGAAATAATGAAATAGTGGTGGGTTGGGGTGGATTTTCTTTCGAAGGGGCAACCTGGAATATGTTCAGAGGAAGTCAATTTTCCAGTGAAATCAGCAGATGGCTGGAAGCCACGGTGATGATGGGATAGCCGAACTATCAAAAGAGCGAAGCATTTTCGGTATGCCAAAGCCGTTCTCTCAAGACAAGATGAACTCTGTCACATTGAAAAACTAGCTTTCCATACACATTCCTCCTGACCCTTAGTCAATCGTATAATCGCCGCCGTCCCTGCCTTTCCCTGGAGAACCACATTAGATCCGTCTCGCCCGTCATGGCAACCCAGGCCACCCCAGAAAGGCCGCCAGAAAGCGCCTGGCCATGTGTCCCTCCACTGGACTCCCAAAAGCCCCGGATGTTTCCTTGAAATCAATCCATTCCTAAGATGCTTCCAGCCTTCCAGCCCGCTAGCGGATGCAAACTCAAGTTTGGAAGAAATTGGGCAGCAATTTGCACGCATCTCAACTGTAACTTGCTAGAAAATTGGGAATGCCGAAAGTGTAGGATGAGGGGGTGTTTTTCGTTCTGGATAGAAGCTAATATAAGCAATAAAAACAGCCTCGAACATCTTGCTGTCAACCATCAAGTGACAACATTAACATGCCACAGTTTCCTGTCGACTACAAAATGGCCTGGTAGGATCCAATCATTTTCGCGAAAGCCTTCTCCATCAGAACCACATATAGCTGTTTATTGGAGACTTGAGCAAACAGTGTGACCGCACTTGGTTCGTACCATTTCCGAGGCTGGCAAGGGATGTAGTCATCAATCTCCATCACCTTCCAGCTCTTGCTGGTCCAATCCTCAAACTGTCAGCTGGAAGACATAGAGTATGGAAAATTCAAGCGCCAACAAAGGAATGTTGATGACATTTTAACACAATGTTCCGTGTTCATCCGTGTTCCACTTTCATGACCTTGGATGCTCAGACTGGATACTTTTGACTTTTACGCGTGGGCAGCAATGCGAAAGAGATTCGTAGAGTTTGATGCGATACTTGCCATCCTCTGCCAGTGCCTTTGTCTCAAAGATGTGGTCCCGGATGAAATTTGGAAATTCGGCGACACCTGGTTACCAGTGATCAATGACTGGATTAAAATAAAACATTCCCGGAAGGAATAAAAGCTCAAAGTTCAGCTGTCACACTATGCAGAAAAGGAATCACAAAGCTGTTCCATTGTGCAGTTGAACAGTTCAGTTTCCGCCGCCCAAGGCACCAGCAAGAGCTGCAATGAGCCAACAATCTCCAAGAGCTCCCTGACAAGCATCAGCTGGCTCAACGGTGGAGAACAAGGCTGGAGGCTCCGCGAGATCTTTGGCGCGGACCCAGTCGCACTCCTGCCAAACTTGTCCCGGAAGGGTGGCAGAGCTGGAAAGTCCGACATGGTTTCGAATGAAGAGAAATAGTTGAGTTTACATTGTTTACATGTGGCATGCAAGGACTATCAGAACTAAGACATCCTTGTCAACTCCAAAGTTCTTTGAACTGTTCCCTGACATCCGTTGGTTTCACTATCTTGGGGTAAGTCCCATGCAAGCATGCCACGGTTTTGGGATCACTCCTTTGCAAATACACCTGCTAGCTCGGCCGTTCAATCTTTCCAACACCTCCCAACCCTGCTGCCTTCTTCTTGCCAATGCTTTCCTCGCTGTGGGGAAAGGATTCATCGATCCAACCACCATCTCCACGGTAACGTTCCCTCCCTTTGGCATCAACCCGGACGGCGGTCGTTGTGCCACGCCATCCAGTCAAGTCAGGAGAAAACACATCTGTCTTCAAAGAGGTGACCCACGTATCTCTTGGCCCATCTGTTTTGAGATGCTTTGCCACTACCCATCTCTCTTTCCGGCCATCGTATGCCAACCATGACTTATGCTCTTCATCATAGTAGACAGGGCGCTCATTGCAAATTTTCTCTGTTTTCATGAAACCACCAGTGACATTACTCCACTGGGTTTTAACATAAATGGCATCCGCAGCCTTGGCGCACTTCTCTTCAGCCGTCGAAGGCGGCGCGAGTTTCGTCGACATCTCCGGTTCAGTCAGAAATTTCTTCCCGTTGTAGACATGCCAAGTTTCCCCTGAAAGGTGCGGAGCTCTCTTGGTACAAAGCCGGGCACTGGCCTTCCAGCTGGTGCGGACAAAGATCTGCCAGCGACGGTGTTTCCTGATTGTGGTGGCTATTCCCCTTCAAAAAAACATATTGGTCGTTCCGGGTCATCATTCCAAAATGTGGTTAAATCTAAAGCAATCAGTATGTACTTCCAAACCACCAACCAGTTTCTGGTTGTAGAACAGATATTTGCCTTTCTCCGCGTTGAAAAAGACAGGCCGGTGACCGTAAAATTCATCCTGTTGCACGTATTCACCATTGAGATCATCCCGGGAAGAACCATCGATCAAAATGGTGAGGGAACTGTTTCCAAGGGAAGCGCTTCCCAATTTGCTCACGTCTTCCGCAAAAACCCAACGCACGAATTCCTCGATTTGTAGAGCCCCATCACCATTGGCATCCGCACTTGCCAACAAATGATCAACCGAATTGTCGTCCCAGTCATCTGGATCTAAAGTTCGCAAGACCTCCACCAATTCCTCCCTGCTAATGGAACCATTGCCATCTTTATCAAATTTCTGAAACGTTTCAAGCACAGCGTTGTGCGGCGGCATCTCGAGCCCAATTTCTGATGGTCCATAGGGCGCAAAATTATCAATATGTTTTTTGGTGCATCAAGACCCAGATTTTGTTTTTTTTCCAATACCAAGTAGTGATTGATGTTCTCTAAATGCCACCTCATCGTTTTGGAAAAGGGTTCGTGGGCGTGTATTCCTGTAGCAACACACTTTGACTCCCAACATATCCTTGCCACACACCAAAAAAATACTGCAAGCGATGTCCATGATGGTTTGCACAAGTTTCCCGTGAACAATCAGTACATAACAATCTAGATTGCCTGTGTCTCTCCATCTGTCTGCGTATATGTCGTTTGTAAGTAAGGAACTTGTTCAAGAGATTTTTTTCCTCTCATTTTGTTTGATTGGAAAAACATCATGACATAGGAAAAACTTACCTTCGTAAAAGTTTATTGCGATCCACTGCCGCTTGTTGCACTCACTTGTCCAGTGTAAGGACTCTTTTGGCCGAATCGCCTTGCCATTGATCGTGCAATTGGTTGCGAGCCATATTGATATCTTGCTCAATGAGTTGCCCCACCTACACGACCGACAGAGCAGTAGAACAGACAAGGGAAAAGAAAGAAAAAGGGAACTGCCGAGAGAAAAAAAAGAAAACATATTGAAGCGGTAATGATAGCGATGCCCGCCTCTGCATACACGTAAATGATCAATCTGGCGTTGAATGTTCCAGGGTGCAGAAGGAACCACCAAATGACGGGATTAACGCGCCAGGTATTCCATGGAAACAACACTGTCGTGGGTGCGCAAAATGCCGACAAACACAATTCACAGAGCATGACGTACTGCCACGGAACTTGCATTGGGTCAGAGGCCTGCTTCCAAGTAACAGACACACCTGGGTACTGCATGTTCTGGAAAAGGTTCCGCCTCTAAGGGACGGAAGAGTTCGGTTTTCACGTTGTTATCCGCAAACGCGCGCTGCACGGGTCCGAAAGACATGGCACACGGATGCAACGGGTGCAAATGCAGCTCCACCCAACAAAAACGGCTACGCTAGAAGAAACGCACCGCACACAAATCAATGATTGAAAACCTGATGGCATGACCCTGCAGCAAACAAATGGACTTGCAGAGGAGTCGCACAAGGCAAAACAAATGTGCAAAGCAACGTGAGCTTTCAACGCGCACGAAGCCATCAGCGCTTAGATTTTCAAGTTAAAATTATAATGCGGACATCAAGGATAGAATATATTCAGGAAATTCAATTTCTATATGAATTGTACGGTCTATGTACCTCCAGAACAGACCATATATATATAAAATAATATGTAAAACGGGCACCAAGGAAGACCAGCATCACCAACCGGAACCCAGAACTGAGACAACTCTTGCAACAACGAATTGAAATATTCCACAATATCTTATTTTTGAATTGGCTTTGAAAGTGGTCTACTTCTATATGGTTTGGACTTCTATGTATTTGGAATTGGTGCTAATTGATGTTTTGTCCTCTTGTTTAATGTAATCTTCAGAGATGGACGTGGTATCGTGGACCTTGTGGCTCGTGTATGAGGAGGTGGTATGATGTGGATACACCATGCAGTGTGAGACATATGTACTACCTACTACCAGTGCCACTAAACACACCACACACCCTGTATGTATATACAAGTATGCATTCATGTATACCAAGATAGTCAAACCATCCATTGGGCACTGGTCCCAAAAGAGAAGGTCAAAAATGCCAGTCAAATAGAATATTTTTGCAATTCCCGTAGAATCGCCATGGCGGCCGGGGCCCATGCGTCCCCAGAATCACTAGTCCAAAGTTTCAGGTGGGCAGAGAAAACATTGGAATGGTGTGAGGGTTCCAAATTTCAAAGTGGGAAGGTTCCGGGTAGCGACCATGTCTGGGCCACATTTTTACTCTGAGCGCGGAGGCGATGAGACAAACAATGTGAGCGACGCAACGGGAGACAAAGTTTGAGACAAAGTGAGGGACAAAGCTGGAGACAAAGCGGGAAAAAAAACAAAGCGCGAGACACGGAAAGAGACAAAGTGGGTGACATGATGGGAAACGAGGTGGAGGGATAAAGTGGCAAAAAGCTGCGAGACAAAGCGCGGGACAAAGATGGAGACGCAAGGGGATACAAAGTGGGAGACAAAGCGGGGGGGGGCCAACAGGAGGACAAAAGGGGATACACAGAAGACACAAAAGCCAGAGACAAGTTGGCAAACAACGTGGAGACAAAGTGGGATACAAAGTGAAAGACACAATCAGGGACAAAGTTTGAAACAAACTGCAGACAAAGCGGGAAACACAGTGGGAGACAGAGCGAGAAACAAAGTGGGTGACGTATTTCCTGAGGAAAGAAACAACAGAGAAGAAGGGAGACAAGCACCGGAACCAAAGAAGTGAGAAGAAGGGAGACAAGCACTGGAACCCCACCGGAACCAAGAGGAACCAGCAAATCATGATGGAACAGAACCCCTTTCCTGAGGAAAGAAAGAAGGGAGACAAGCACCGGAACCCCAGCCGGAACCACGAGGAACCCGCAAGTCGTGATGGAACAGAACCCCTATCCTGAGGAAAGAAAGAAGAGAAAAGAAGGGAAACAAGCACCGGAACCAAAGAAGAGAGAATAAGGGAGACAAGCACCGGAACCCCAGCCGGAACCAGGAAGAACCAGCAAATCATGATGGAACAGAACCCCTTTCCTGAGGAAGAAAGAAGAGAGAAGAAAGGAGACAAGCACCGGAACCAAAGAAGAGAGAAGAAGGGAGACAAGCACCGGAACCTCAGCCGGAACCAGGAAGAAGCAGCAAAGCATGATGGAACAGAACCCCTTTCCTGAGGACAGAAAGAAGAGACAAGAAGGGAGACAAGCACCGGAAGCCCAGACGGAACCAAGAGGAACCAGCAAGTCATGATGGAACAGAACCCCTATCCTGAGGAAAGAAAGAAGAGAAGAAGAAGGGAGACAAGCACGGAACCCCAGCCGGAACCAGGAGGAGGCAGCAAACCATGAGGGAACAAAGGCCGTTACTAGCAAGAATTGAGAACCCCGTTCAGCTCAAGAGCTGTTTGGGGAAAAATTAAACTTCCTGCCACGCCCATCCAACTGCGGAACAATCAGATCAATGCAGGGTACCAGCCGCACTACAGTTCCCATAGGGCAGCTGAAGTAGCAAGCACAAGGATGCGCATGGATGTGCATCCACACCCCTGGCCAGCTGGATCCCATAGTTTCGTCGGCATGTAGATCCATTTCAGCTAGCGCTCGAAGTCACCGTGCCCGGAATCAGAAAGGTTTAGACACATAGCCCGGAATAAGAAAGGTCTAGACACATACACACAGGTCATACCAATTAGGCTGTAAGGCCTTCTCTCGCACCATGACGTTCTTTCCAAATAACGTGGTGCGGTCTTCTCGCGCATTGGAAAACACACTGCTGAATTTGGTTTGAAGTGGAAAGTCTTGTGGTTGATCTCATTCTTGCCTTGAAAATTCCTTAGGGGCTTGGCTGACACTGCTGATTGCAAAAAACGTTGAACACCGATAAGGGAAAGATGCCCCTCACTCTGCCAGGCCAGTGCAACACATGAAAGCTCCCAAACAAGTTTTAAGCCATGCTAGCGCAATAAATGAAACCTCCTACATGAGCTCAATGCCATGCCAGTGCAACACACGAAGGCTCCCAAAGTAGTTCAGTGCCATGCCAATGCAACATGAAAGCTCCCAAACAAGCTCAATGCCATACTAGCACATTATATGCAAATCTCAAACTGGCTCAGTGCCATGCCAGTGCAACAGATGAAGGCTTCCAAACTAGCTCAGCGCCATGCCAGTGCAACACAAGGCTCCCAAACAAGCTCAGTGCTAGCGAAATACATGAAGACTCAACTGCGTCAGTGTCAGGCCAGTGCAGCACACGAAGGCTCCCGGACAAGCTCGATGCCATGCCAGCGCAATGCATGAATGCTCCCAAATGAGCTCAGAAACTTCGGAACCGAACTAAATGAACACGACGAAGGGCCTAACTTCTTAAAGCAAACAGCGTCATGGAGAAACAGAAATCAACAGTTCTATTCGCAGGTACGTGCAGTTGATCAGACTGCATATCCTCTCCAAACATCACTAGCTTCGTTGGCCAAAATAGCCACGGACTGATGAATGGAGCCGTGGCCCCCCTGCTCTGCTTCAAGTCAAAAATCGATTTACGCATGAATATGTGCGCGAGCTTGCATGTGATAGCAACATTCACACACACAGGGCCCGGTAGTAGGGCCACGAAACACTGAATTTCTAGAGTCTTACTGTCTGTGATTGTTTTGATGCACTATACTATACCTGGGTTGAAACTTAAAGTTCGCAACATGTTTGGCTAAAGTTCAACTGTGCAATTCTGAAGCTTTCAGGCGCCGTCTGTCATACACATGCTTTCTTGGGGGAAAGTGATAATATGAAGAAGTAACACTAGGATCTACGGAGCGAGGAACAAGGCACAAACAATGCGTCTATCTGATACACTTGCTCACTGTTAGCCCTATTTTCCTCCCCGTTGGTCCAATCTAAGCGTACTGAAGCAACTGGCTTTTAATCATGTGTGCAAAGCGTATTCGGCAAAGTTGTAGCGCTTCATCGATACATCGGAAACATTCAGGATCAAGATGTACATGTAATGCAAGACTGCAAAAATATCTTGAACTTGCGCCAACATATCCAAATGCTGAGCGATCAATCTCCCCCGCGCCAAAGGTCCAGAAGTAACACTGCGTGATGGACCAACCCCTGTATGACTGCGAATGTCCTTGTCCCGTGGTAGTTGGTATGAAATACCACGTTGCAAAGGGTTCACACTGAAACCAAGAGCCCCATATCCTTCCACCTCCTCCAGGAGGATGTGGCCAATGTAAAAATAAAAACGCCAAAAATGTCTCAATCAAAGCTTTGGTATTGCCGGTGCTAGCACGATCAATAGGAAGCCGATCAAGAAGACCTATGAGATCATGGCCGTTCATGTCGTGAACCGC